AAAGGCATGTATTTGGAGACTAAAACCAGGAGGTAGAAATAGCAAAGTAAGTCCAGTGAGAAACAGACAGAATGAGACTGAAAACTGTGAGAGACTGAGGTGGACGGGTCCACGAGGTCTCTTTCCTTTAACGGGAAGTGCCGTGAGGGGAGAATTTTGTCTTTCTGCGTGACTAATCCCCGACTTTTAGAGCAGGGTCTGCCCCTGGGGGCTCAATATGTCCGGCCAGGAGGAAGCCCAGCAGGCAGAGCGTCTGCAGCTCCCAAAGCCACCACCAGGTGGGAGTCTTCCTTCACCCTGGAGCTTGCGGAAGCCAAGGTCCCGGAGACGGCTTGGGCCCCACAGGCCTCTGACTTTCAGGATGTCTTCCCTGAGGCTCAGCCTTGCCTTTCCCCGCACACGCCCCGGGCGATGAGTGACCTTTCCACTGGACACCCTCTTCTTCACTTCCCCTCGCCGACCGGGCCAGTTAAACAACCCTTTGTCCTTGGCCTCTTCTGGCTGGGCCCCGAGGCACCTGGGTCCCTTCCAGGTCCGGAGATGGGGCTTGGACAGAGGTAGGGCAATTGGGACACAGCCAAGGAAAATCCTGGGGACTGTGGAATCAGTTACTCCACTCTTCCTGGACCGAGTGTGGGAACCAGCACCTCTTCCTTCAGACCCAGGAGTGGAGGGCCCCAACCTCCTCTTTCCTGAAACCCACGGATCCAGGCCGGCCTCCTCCCTCAGACCGGGTCCACACCCCAGGCCCCCCTCTTAAGCGCCTCTCTTGGTCTCTGAGGTCCCCGTGTGCTCTCTTTCCTCTTCACAGGTGCCTTTTCTTCCTCACTTTCCCTTAGGGTTGAGCTCCATCTGAGTCACAGGAAGCCCAGGGGCCTTGAGTCACCCCCAGCCCATGGCTGGCCCTTCCCTGGGCTGGAGAGAGCTGGCTGTGCGGAGGTGTTTCCTACACTGACCCTGCTGCCCAGAGCGTCACTTCAGGGGCAGACACCCTTCCTACCTCCAGGACCCTTCCTGTCGCCCACTGGGCGCCTCCCACTCAGCCTTTCTGCTTTTCCTCTTTCAGCTGTGAGACCCAATTTCTCCCTACAGTCAACCTCCATTTCTTGATTCTCTTTTTTTTTTCTTTCGCTGGATCCTTTTCTCTCCTTGTCTTAGGTTTTTGTCATTGATGATTTTTGTTTTGTTTTGTTATTGCAGGGTTGGGGACGGAACCTGCGGCCTCGTGCATGCTAAACACGTACTCTTGCCACGGAGTGACACCCTAACCCTCTCAAGAGTGCCTGACCTGGGGCTGGAGTGTGGCTTTTAACCTTTCAGGAAGCCACAGTCTCTCTCTCTGGTTCACAGTCCCTGAGAGGACCTGTGGTAGATCTGAAAGGAGCAGGGCTGCCCACAGCTGTGCCAGGGAACAGCAGAGGTAAACTGAGGCAGAGCTGAGAAAATAGAGACTCGGAGCGAGACTTGGAGACAAGGAGAGAATAAAACAGAGACAGAGCTATGGACTGAGTCAGATAGAAACAGCCCCGGAAACAAACAGAATGAAGTGTAAAGGGCACAGAGACAGAGACACAGAGAGCGGTGAGCACAGAGGGGTGCAAAGACAGAGACACTGACAGGGGGAGAGCCCAAAGACAGAGGATGACAGAGGATACAAGAGACGCAAGACTCGGAGAGGCTCAGTGAGGAGAGGCAGGGCGAGACCAAGGAAACAGACCAGCAATGGAGAGACAGACACAAGGATACTGAGAGGGGCAGGGACAGAAAGACACACAGGCACGGGCAGAGAAAAATGGAGACGGCACCAGGTGCAAGCTTGTAATCCCAGCACTCAGGGAGGCTGAGGCAGGAGGAGCACAAGTCTGAGCCCAGCCTCTGGGACTTAGCAAGACACTATTGCAAAATTAAAAAAAAAAAAAAAAAAAAAAAAAAAAAAAAAGGGAGAGGAGAGGGGATGGCTGCAGGGTGCAGGAGCGGTGACCAGCAGCAGGGGCGCTGTTTGCCGCCCAGGGGCTGCCCGCAGCCAGGCTTCCTCCAGACAAGCATGGAGTGGGGTCCCAGGGCGGAGTGTGTCTCCACCCCTCTCCCACCGTGTGTCACCGGAATGGGAATTGTGCGTGCTCCATGGGGCAGGGCACCCCCGCCGGCTGTGTTTTTGTCACTGGGCGTGTCTCTGTGTGTGGTTTGGTGTCTCTGGGTGTGTCCGCGTGGTTGCGTTGGTGTGTTGCCAGACGTGTCTGTCCGAGCGTCTCGTTACCCTGTGGCTGGCGGGCCATGGCACTGCATGACGTGGAGCGCAGGGAGAGAGAGGGGCTGCGTCCACCTGTTCCTCTAAGAGCAGGTCTGGGAGGCCACCTGCTGCGTCATAAGCTCAATGTAAGCCGCCCTGCCAGGTGTTTTGTGTGAGCACGTTAGTGCATCCCTGTGTGTTTCGATGGGAGGGTTTGGATGTGCGGCTCAGTGCACAGCGCACAGATCCATGTGTTACCTTTGTGCAGCTGCTACGTGATGTCACATTCTACCGCACGTGTCCCTTTGGGAGCCCAGGGCATCACCCCACATTGCACTCACTGCCGTGCATCCCTGTGTCGTGGCCTCCTGTGTGTGACACTGCATGTCACTTGGTGATACAGCCTGTGTCACGTGCATGGCGGGCGCATGTCCACCCCAGAGGCCTCTCCTTTCCCTGCCAGGAGCCCATCCCGGCTCCCGCTCCGCAGTGTACATTGTGTCTGTGTGTCTGTGCGTGACACTGCTCCCCTGCCCCCGGTGGGATGCTGTCGCAGGCCCCGATGCAGGCTGTCGGGGGTACCCACCTAGTGTTTCACGGGACAGGCGGTCTTTGTGGAAAGCTGTGAATCTTGGGAAACGCGCTGTGTTTTGCGTCCCCATGTGTCTGTGCTGCTCTGCGTGTGCCGGGTTCGGGTGGCCATGTACATTGGAATACAGTGTGCACAGCCGTATGGGATGTTCAGTTCTAGCCTGTGGGTCAGAGGCCATGGTGCATCAGGGAACTGGGGTCCATTGAGGTGCAACCTCGATTCCTGCCCCTTGGGAGCATCATCCAGGGTTGTGTCTTGTGCAACCAAAATACGTGCTGGCTGACTGGAGCGTGTGCTGGTGGTCCCCGGGATGAGCACTGGGGGTTCTGAGCACATCCAGTCATACTGTTCTCTGACCATTCATTTGAATCGAATTTTGTGCCTGATTGAATCAGTGTGAACTGTGAATCATCATGACGGCTATATGTGTGTTGATCACATGGGACTGTGACACATATCTGTGTGTTTCTCCACACTGGGCGGCTAAAGCTGTCACAGCCATGTCTCCGTCCTGTGTGTTTGCACTGCCAGGCGAGGCTCCAGGAGTGCATTATGCTGGGGACATCATGAGCGCCTTGTTTACATGTGTGTGCTGTGCGCGGTAGCATTTGGGGCTGACTCTGTTCATCTAGACCGCATGTTTGAGAAGCACGGCTTTGTAGCACGGGTGCACAACATGCCGCGTGTGTCGTCTGGGTGTGGCTCTACCTGTCTGAGAAGGTCACTGCATTGTGAATATAACGTCCTGCCTGTGTGTGGACAAGGTCTGGGCAGCCCTGTGTGCTGGGGTGCTGCCTGCCTGCCTCTGTGCCGGCCTGTGTCACACACCATGTGTGTGGTGTCTGGGTGTGGCTGTGGGTTTCAGAGCTCCACGGGAGTTGTGAGTCACTCAGTGTAGGCTGTGCCGTGTGCCTCAGTGTGCAAAGCTCCCCTTCTGGCTGTCGGTGTCCTGTGGTGTCCAGCGGTGTGGTGGGTGTAACTGTGTGTCACAAGGTGCAGCCGGTTGTAGGCACAGCCCATCGTGTGTCAGTGTGTCTTTGCCCACGTGGATGGACACCTCCTCTTCCCTGCTCTGACCCAGACACACCCCAGCCCCTCCTTAGTCTGGGAGGGGGGTTGGGGGAGCCTCCCCCTACCCAGGGCCCTCCCTGCCCTGCCCTCCCGCCCTGCCCTGCAGCCGTTACCACTCCCCAGAGGGCACAGGGCTCTGCCGTGCCTCTGCCTCAGAGCAGAAGCCCCAGTGCGAGCCGAGCAGCCGGCGGCCTGGAAGCCAAAGTGGCTGCCATTTGCGTGCTGCGAGGTGGGGGACCTTGGGCAGGAAGCTGGCTGAGCCTCAAGACCTCAGGGGCCATGGGCGGGGACCTGGTGGCTGGCCTGGGGGCCCTGCGGAGGCGAAAGCGCTTGCTGGAGGAGGAGAAGTGGCTGGCTGGCTGGGCGCTGGCACTGGCGGGAGCTGGCATTGGACTCATGGTGCTGCATGCGGAGATGCTGTGGTTCGGGGGGTGTCCGGTAAGTGGGACCCTAACGCTGGGGCACAAGAGACTGGGGGCCTGGACCCCTGGGGCTGAGAGAGAAGGGGCTAGGGGCTTGGATTCCTGCTCTAAGGGAGAACGAACTGGGGATCGAGGCTCCTAAGACCTGAAGGAGTTAGATTCTGGGGACCCTCGCTGCAAAGGGAAGGGAGGAGGGGTCCTAAGAAGTTGAGATCAGACCGTGGGGGCCTGAGCCCCGGAAGTCAGAAGGAGGCTGGACTGACTGATAGCCCAGGGTTGGAGAGTGCAGGCTGAGAGGGACTGGCTTCTCTCCGAGGGAGGGAGAGGCTCCCTGCTCCTTATCTGACCTCCACCACCATTTCCCTGGCGCCTGGACAGCAGTGGCCAGAGCCCAGAAGAAACTGGCTGGGGGCGGGGCTGGGAAGTTGGTCCCCATCTGGATACCCCCTATCTCCATCCTTTAGCTCCATGTCCCCCCCAATCAACCTGCCATTCATTCAGTCCAGGAGGGAAGAGAATGTGGGGGCGAGTTTACAGTAGCAGGGGACTCCTGGGCCCCAGGGGAGAAGGGGTGGGGATCTGAAGGAGGGGTCGGAGGAGGTCTAGGGGGAGAGGTGCTGACTTTGAGGCAGGTGGGGAGTCAAGGGGGCAGAACAAGTCTCAGCAGGCTCCCAGAACATTGCAGCTCCAGGGCTAGGCAATGAGAGGGGCAGGCAGAGCACAAGGATCAAACCCCGGTTTTCGGGGACAGAGTTGCTCAACAGGAAAGGAGAGGCCGCAGACCTGTCTGGGGCAGAGGCAGTGGGACTGGGCTGCGGGGTGGGGAGGGGGCTGGCTTGAGGGTCTGGTTGGGAGGATTCTGGGGGCCTGGAAGCTTGACCTCGGCCAGGGATCGGGAAGTGGACAGCTCTGCGGTGACCAGCAGGAGGGTCAAGGCAGGCCAGCTTCCTCTGTCCAGGCGGGAGAGGAGAAGGCAGCGGCACAGAGGGGGTGGGACGCCCAGGCTCATGCCAACAGGAAGCGAGGCCTGGGGCCTGCCCTCCGCTCCCACGCTGTACCACCGCACCCAGCGGGGAGCCGGGGAGCAGTAGCAGATGAAGAGGTACAAGGGTCCCCTCCTTCCCAGCCCTCTTCTTCACCTTTTCCAACCCGAAAGCCTTCCTCCCCTCTACCACCTGCCACGGGGGCTGCCGTCCCAGCAGTGGGAAGGGGAGGGGTGCAGCTGCTTAGCGCCTTGAGCTTCAGGTCTGCAAAAGGAGGGTGAGAGTTCAAGCCCAGGGCCACAGGGTCCTGCCCAGCCCCCTTCCATCCCCGCCTTGTGACTCCCCTCTCCTCCCCCGCATTGCAGTCTGATTGAACTCTTGTGTGAGGCCCCCACACCTGCTCCCCAGTGCAGGTGCAGAAGGCTGGGGAGGAAAGGCAGCCACGGGCAAGGAAGGGAGAGAGGTCCGGAGAGAGACAGGGCCACGGAGAGGAAAGGTGGACAGTGACAGTGACACAGAGGCAAGGAAGGCCAGGGACAGTCACAGGCCAAACAGAAAGGGCTGGAGAGCGCCAAGAAAGGCACCACCGAGGCCACAGACAGAGGGGCCGACGAACACAGACCCTCAAACCACAGGGCCAGAATCAACCTCCCAGGAGAAGCGGAATTCGGAAACCAGAGCCAGGGTCCAAGCGGGGCCACTTTGGTGGTGGGGGTGAGGATGGGATGGGAAGCATGGGTATCAGAGAAGAATGGGGAGGGGGCTGCATCCCGATGGAGAGAGAAGGGGACTAGGGAGCACAGAAGGATGAAGGGGGTGGGGAGGGCTGGGGACAACAGCACCATTGTTCAGGCAGGGGAGGGGAGGGGAGCCCTCCCCTGCACCCCCCCCCCCCCGCCCCGGCAGGAAACTGGCCCTCTTCCCCTGCTCAGAGGCGGCACCCTGGCCCAGGCCCAGCCAGGGGAGCTGGCAGCCACTTAAGAGAGACAGGTGCAGGGCTCAGAGTAGGAAGCCCAGGTGTCCCCTTCCCCTGACAAGGTCCCCCAAGCAGGTGTCTTAGGGAGCCCAGCAGTTGCAGTTTCCTCTAAATTCTTCCCTCCACAATCTAGATTCCTCCAAGGTATCGCCATACAAAGAGAGGAAAAACAGTCCTTGTGGTTTCTGGAGGCCCTGTGCTTCCGGCCAGATCTGCTCAGGGCTTGGAGCCAGGAGAATGGGGGGCAGGGGCAGGGAGGAGAAAACGCAGGGGCAGGGTTGGGGGCTTTTAGATCTGAGACTGGGGTCTCAGGCATTCAGTGCCCCGGAGGAGAGTAGCCCAGGGTGTCATTTAGTTCTCTGAGATACTTTCTAGACCTTTTTTTTTTTTTGGTCTTTTTCGTTTTTTATTGGGACCAGGGATCGAACTCATGACTGCATGCTTGCAAGGCAGGCGCTTATGCCGCTGAGCTAAATCCCCAGCCCCTTTTTCTAGACTCTTCTGGAACTAGGAGGGAGTTGAAGTTGGTTTCTAGGGCAGGAGCAGCCGGGTGGGAAGGGAAGAGGCAGGGGTGGAGGCAGGGGCTTTCTCTAGGGACCAGATGTCTTTCTCTAGACACTCTAGACTCCTAACTGAGTGACTCTTCTTCCTGAACAGACAGAACACAAAGAATGTGAGTTTCAAGGTCTCCCTTTTGGGGTGTGGGTCATAAGAAGGACCCAGGGGAAGGTAGAGAGGGACAGGTTTGCCAGTGGGAAAGGATGAGACCCCTTCCTCTGGGGACCCGATGATGGTTTTGGATTCCTCCACACGCAGATCCCAGGTGGAACGGGTTTGGGGCTCGGAAACCGGAAAGGGGGAACGAAGGGGGTTTCTAGGGAAAGCAGTGAGGTTGGTTGGCCAGGCCTGCGCCTCACTGGCTTCCTGTCCTCCCGCAGTGGGCACTTTACCTGTTCCTGGTTAAGTGCATGATCAGCCTTTCCACTGTCTTGCTGCTTTGCTTCATCATGGCCTTCCACGCCAAAGAGGTCCAGGTAGGACCCCCAAATCCTATGTACCCCATTAGCTTCCCAATCTGAGTGATGAGGCTCTTCCACACCCATGCCCACTGGGACGAGAGGAGCCAGAGATGGATAGTGGTGCCCAGGCAGCCCCAGCCGCTCCCCAACCCGCGGCACAGCCCCGCTCCTGCACACCCAGGATGCTGAGGTCCTGTCTCTCCAGCCCCCAGTCTCCCTGCTTCTGTCCACTGGCCTCCGTCTGTCCACTCTGCCCTCCACAGGGTCTTCACCAGTCCAGTCCCAGGCCACCTGAGGTGCCGCTGAGTGCCTGCCCCCACCCTGTGCCAGTATCACCCAGACCTAGGAATTCTTCACATGCATGGCCCGCCTGTGGGCTCACCCAGATGCAGCCACCGCCCACCCCCCCAGGTTCCACTGCCCCTACATCGGCATTCAACATGGAGATTACTGGCTGTGCATGGTAACCCTGGTACATAACAGGCCTGGCACGTGAGAGGCGCTCAGTGAAAAGCACACATTAACCCCTTTGCTAGTAACAGTCCTGAACTGGGCATGGTAGTGCCTGCCGGTAATCTCTGCACTCTAGAAGCCGAAGCAGGAAGATGGCAAGTTCAGGCCTAGTCGGGGCAACTTAGGGAGTTAGCAGGACCTAGTTTCAAAGTCAAAACTAAAGTAAAGAGCTGGGGATAGAGCTAGTACAGAGGTCATGAGTTCAATCCCTAGTACAAATGTGTGTGATGTATGTGTAAGAAAGAGCAGTTAATTTGTCTGGGCCACTGGTCTTGTTGCCTGTGTATCATTCCGTATCTGACAGACCTGGACCTCTGTTTCCAAATCTACAAAATGGTGGTAGTAATATCAGTCTCACTATGTTGTGAGCATTCACCCAGTCAGGGCATGCAAATGTCATGGATCAGTGCCCAGCGAGGCCAAAGCACTCTGTCAACGTTTGCTATTGTTATTACTATGCCAATTACAACTGGAGTCTCCCGCAGTGAGGGCAGGAGAGGCCTCTAGAATGTGAATGCAGGCCCCAGAGAGTGCTTTGTTCCCTATGAGCCTCATCATATAGATCATGACCCGGTGGGCTGGGCGCAGAGCAGGTGCTCAATTAGTGTTCAGGGAATGCAAGTTCTGCCCCCGCCCCGGCCCATGGTACTGGGGATGGAGCTCAGGGCCTTGCGCTGGGGAGCGCTCTATCACTGAGCTGCACCCCAACTCGGAACTGCAAGTTCTGGACTTGGGCAGAAACTGGGGGAAGAGACCTTGGAGAGCCAAGTCCTCCTGAGCACCTGTCCCGCTCCTTCCTGAGTCCTCCCCAGCCCCACGCCCTGCTCTCTCTCCCCCTCCAGGGCCAGCGACGCCCCACCTTATCTCGGGGCACAGACTGGCGGGCCGCCGCCTGACCTGCACCTGACCCCTCCCCTGTCCGCCCTTCCCGGCAGCTGTTCATGACCGACAACGGGCTCCGAGACTGGCGCGTGGCGCTGACCCGGCGGCAGGTGGCGCAGATCTTGCTGGAGCTGACGGTGTGCGGGCTGCACCCGGCACCCGTGCGGGGCCCGCCTTGCGCGCTGGGCTCCGAGATGCAGCGGGCCACCACGCAGGCCTGGCCAAGCTTCCTGGACGAAGGGGAGGCGCTGCTGTCGCTGGCCATGCTGCTGCGCCTCTACCTGGTGCCCCGTGCGGTGCTGCTGCGCAGCGGCGTCCTGCTCAACGCGTCCTACCGCAGCATCGGCGCCCTCAACCAGGTCCGCTTCCGCCACTGGTTCGTGGCCAAGCTGTACATGAACACACACCCTGGCCGCCTGCTGCTCTGCCTCACGCTTGGCCTGTGGCTCACCACAGCCTGGGTGCTGTCGGTGGCCGAGAGGTGAGAGCGCCCCGGGGAGGGGGGGGGACCCTGAAGCGCCTGAGGCTGCGGATAGGAGGCTGCCCTGTGCGGTGGTGCAGGCTGAGGCCAACCTGAGCCAGGCTCGCACCTGCACCCTGTGTTCAAGACCGGATTGGCTCATACCCTCCATGCCAACCCGCCTGGCTCCCGGGCCTCTCCCGCCTCAGCTTTCCAGGCATCTGCTCCTCCTCCGAAACCAGGCTCTGGGACCTGGCTAGCAGTTGCATCTGCCTTGGAGGAAGGGGACATCTTTTCCAAATTAGCACAGCGCAGGAGATTTGGATCTGCTCTAGAGAACTGCCTGCAGGGAACTGGGATGGCTTCCTGGCTGCCCCCCAAACTATAAACGATGCAGCGCGAGCTCATACCTTCTCAGAGGCTCTGACAGAGTCTCATACAGAGAAAGGAATGCAGAGCAGGCCTAGGCAGTGTGGTTCGGAAACGTGATTCCAGGGCCAGCAGCAGCAGCTTTCTGCAAATGCAGATTCTCAGGTCCTGCACAGAACTGTGGAATCCACAGCTCTGGGAAGTGGGGCCCAGCAATGTGTTAAGAAGCCCTCTGGGTGAAGCCCACCCAAGTTAGAAAACCTCTGCTTTAGGGCACCTAGCAAAGGACTCTGAAGGCAAGTTGGAGAATGAAAAAGTCTGGCTTTCCATGTCTCCTCTCTGAGGCTCAGTTTTCTCATCTGTAAAATGGGTGTCAAATTCCATCATCTTTAAGGTCTCCTGGCAACTCAGTCCTTTTGTAATTTCAAACTCCTCCACTTCTCAGTATCTTCATTTTCCCAGCTGAGCATCAGACATCAGGGTGAACGAATGATCCCTCCCCACCCCAAACATGTTTCTCCTCTGGAAAATGGAAGGATGGGGAAGGAGTCAAAGTCCAAAATCCCCAGACCCTCAGACTTGAATCTACTCAGAAATGAGGGGTGTGGGACTGGTTAGCAGTGTAGATTCACTAATTTAATGGGCCCACAACACCTGGGACTCTTGTGAATGAAGCGTCCTTTGCTGATCTGGACTCAGTGAGACAAATCTCGACTTTGCCATCAGGATGCACCTAAACATCCCCTTCCAGCTCGCATAGTGGTGGATACCTGTAGTTTCAGGACTGGTTAGACTGAGGCAGGAAGTCTGCTGTAAGTTCAAGGCCAGCCTGAACTGCATAGTGAAACCTTGTCTCAAAAAAAAAAAAAAAAAAATGATAAAAGAAAAAAATCCTCTAAGCAGAAAGGACAGAATCCTGACAGACCTTTTTAGAGTCCCACTTTGGGATCCTGCTAGGCCACTTGTAGGCTGTATAGCATCTCTGTAGGAGTTAGACAAATGGCCCTCCCTTTGGTAGGATCTAGAGGTAAACCTCTGGTTGGCTTTGACGCCCTCTCCACCATCATCCACACAGTCTGTAGGCTGCAGCCCAGCTGCAACCATACGTGCTTTGGGACTGGCTGGACTCAGGCTTGAATCCCATCACCCAGAGAGCCTGAGCATCTTGGCAGGTCGCACACAGGGAAAGAGGTCAGGGAGGCTCTCCAAAGCCCAGGACTTACCGGCTTTCTGTGCGGGTACTTTTGGGGATGGAGGATATATACGGGCAGGGAAGAGACGCCAGCAGGGTAGGGTTCAGAACTAACCTGCCTTTGCCTGCAGGCAGGAAGTCAATGCCACCGGGCACCTTTCGGACACGCTGTGGCTGATCCCCATCACCTTCCTGACCATCGGCTACGGGGATGTGGTACCGGGTACCATGTGGGGCAAGATCGTCTGCCTCTGCACGGGAGTCATGGTGAGCGATCCCCCGGGGACCGAGCCGCGCCAGCTGCTCAGCCTCAAGGCCCAGGAGCCACAGAGCCGGGCCCACCTGAGAAACTCAGGGTCTGCGCCTCCCTAGGCCTTGTTTTCTCTTCAGGACCCGGACACCAAAGTCCCCGTCTCCACATCTTTATTTGTTTATGTTCACACTGAGGATTGAACCCAGGGCCTTCAGACTGAGTTAAAGCTCTAGGCCTCATTTTTATTTTGAGGTAGAGTCTTCCTTGGTAAATTGCTCGGGCTGGGCTCAAACATTTTACCCTCCTGCCTCAGCTTCCCAGAGTGCTAGGATGGGAGGTGTATTGCACACCATCATAGCTGGCTCTCATTTCTTCTTAAGATCAATGAAAAGAAAATCAATGACTCCTCCCCCTAAATCCTTTCTCTTCAAAACCTAACCCTTCATCCTCCTCAGGGATGCAAGCCCTCAACTTCCCAGCCCCATATTCCTCCAGGAGCTGGGCTTCCAGTCTTCTAGCCCCCATCAGGAGCCCTGGGTCATCATCAAGAGCGTGCCTTCAGGGCCAGGCTCTGTGGGTTCAAATCACACTTCTGCCACTTTCTAGCTAGGGAGCTCAGGCAAGCCATATCATCTCCCTGGGCCTCAATTTCCTCATCTATAAAATGGGGATGCCAAAACCTCATGGGGTTCTGAGTTAAGCCATGCACAGCACAGGCTTTCTGAAGGGGCCTAATGCCTACACAGACAGTGCTCAGTAAGTGCAGCTGGGGACCTTGCTCTTGTAAAATCCCACATCCAGCTTCTGTGCTCTCAAGGATGAGGCAGAGGCTTCCAAGCCGCAGAATCAAGCTTCTCCCCCAGGGTCAGCCTCTTCCTGAATCCCAACAGCCACCTCCTTCCTGCCAGGTCCTTCCCCTCCCAGCACCTGGGTGTCTAGGCCCCAGCTCCTTCCCAGAAACTGACATTGTGCTGCTCACTGCCAGATGAAGGGGTCAGCCACATGCCTGCTACAGGAGGCCTCTGTAGCGCGGACCCAGCATCCTGCTCCCCCACCCAGCTCATCCCCTCAGGGCCCAGCACCCAGTGTCCTGGCCTTTGCCTTCCCACATGACCTGTGTCCCTGGGCCCTCAGGTACCCAAGCCACCAGTCCCTCATGTTGCCGACAGGAAGGACAGGTTGAATCTCTAAGCCCCAGGTCCTCAGGTGATGAATGGTTGGCAGAGCAGTCCTTGGGACAAGGGAAGAGGAAAATACTCCCAAAGGCTGGGGACCTTCTGCCTTGGGGATCCCTGGGGTCCCTCATTTAATAGAAGAAACTGAGACTTAGAAAGATAAGGCAGTGTGCACCAGAGCTCACAACCTCTTCTGGCCTGTAGGTTCCAGGGTGCAATGGAAGTAGCCCTCACTTACTCCGATTGGGCATGCACTGGTGGCCAATCTCTATCCCAAATGCTCTCCAGGTGTCGGCTCAGAGCCGGTGATGCTAGGAGAGTGTGCCCATTTTACAGATGGAAAAACAACCCCCAGAGGTTGAATGGCTTGGTCAGAGCTGGACTGGGAACCAGAGACTCCATGGAGCCCATGTTTATAATTAGGGAGAGCCGAGCCACGCAGGGTGGGGAGCTGCAGAGAAGGGCACATCATACCTCCAAGTACAAGAGGGCTGTGTCCCAGAGCTACTGGGATGCGACAGTGCCTGAAGATCAGGAGGCTTGGGAGAAGGAAAGGAGGAGAAGCTGATGCAGGAAGGCTGGGAAGAGTGAGAGAGCCAGGCTAAGAAGCTCAGGGAAGCAGGAGCCCAACAGACATTAGCAAGAGGGGGACAGGGACAGATTAGAGTCAGAGTGGCAGGTCTCCCTGAGGAAAGGCTAGAGGCACCCTGGGCAGGGGGAGGGACTCACCCCATGATTGACAGCCAGCTAGATGTGAACAGCAAGGAAGGAGGGGACCAGAGCCAGTCCCCCCCACCCCCATCATGCCTAGCAAGAGAGGCCGATTGGCCCATGGTGTCCATCGGGAGAAGGTGGTGGCACAAGGCTAGGCCCAGTGTCCCACAGGCCCAGACCACTCTTGGCGCCTTCCCTGCAGGGGGTGTGCTGCACGGCCCTGCTGGTGGCAGTGGTAGCTCGGAAGCTGGAGTTCAACAAGGCGGAGAAACACGTGCATAACTTCATGATGGACATCCACTATGCCAAGGAGGTGAGGCTGTGTCTGGGGCACACAGGGTTCACCCCGACTCCAGGCATCCCCAGGAGTCAGGCTCCCTCTTCCGGGGCACTGACCCCTGCCGCCCCCCCCCCCCCAGATGAAGGAGTCGGCAGCGCGCCTGCTGCAGGAGGCCTGGATGTACTACAAGCACACGCGCAGGAAGGAGCCGGGCGCCGCCCGCCGGCACCAGCGCAAGCTGCTGGCCGCCATCCACACGTGAGGACCCTCCGTGGTGTGCCGCCGCTCTCTGCACGGCTGTGTCAGGACCCGCCTCCATGTGTCGGGGGCGGTAACTTCTCCCCTGGGGGCGGAGCCCATCCTCACGCCCCACCCCCGCCCCCCAGCACTTTCTGTTGCAGTGGGGTCCCTGTGGGTCTCGCGTGCCCTCAGCCCATCCCTGAGACAGGGTGAGATTAGGAGCCAGGGGTGTAGGAGAATTGACTCCCAGCTTACCCCCACAGCTTCCGCCAGGTGCGGCTCAAACACCGCAAGCTCCGGGAGCAAGTGAACTCCATGGTGGACATCTCTAAGGTACCAGGGACCTGGGAGAGGAGGAGGTCAGGCCTGCCTGTAGGGAAAGCACGGGAGAGGCCTGGCCACACGGGGGCAAGGCAGAAGTTTATGACCGACTGAAGGGCGGGGGAGCGATAAAGAGCTGCTTATATACACATAAGGTGCAAAGCCCTTTCAAGCTTAAAAAGAAATGATAAAGAGCTCCAGCGTTTGATTCTGAATTATCTTTATTATCACCTTACTCACTTGTGGACGGATATAAAATTCCTTCCCACTATGACTGTTATACAATAAAACCTAAGCAAATTTACAAACCAAGCCCAAACACACACGGGGAAACCAATAAAATTCTACTTAACGATGCCGGCAGGAAGACAAATGACATTGTTTCAGGACAGCTCAATCTCTGCTCTGGGTGAGGGGCGCCCAGGGCTGGTGCCAAGCAGGGCCCTGTGGCCCCCAGTGACTGGCCCGCTCTCCCCTCCCACCAAGACCTTTGATCCCAGCTGTGCAGGGATCAGTGGCACCACCGCTCCCTTGGCCTGGCTCCTGGCACCTTTTCTTTGTTTGGCTGTCTTTGCTTCTTCTCATTGGTCCACAGCAAGTCAAACAGTGGCCCCAGGCACCAGTGCCATGGTAAACACAGGCACAGATACAGTCCCCGAAATGCGTGGCAGATTGAGAGGAGCTGGCGGCCCAGGTCTGCCAGAAGCAGCAGGTGGCAATTTCTGAAGCTGGGAAGCCTGAAACACAGAATTGAAGAGCTCCTGTAGGAAGCTTCCGATCCAAGATCTCGCTGAATCCTGGGCAATGGCGTGGGGAAACAGCCAGCTGGGTTTTAAAGCTGGCGTTCCCAACTCCACACACTTTTAAGGGACACCAGTTCCATTCCCCGCCCGATGCTAGCAGTATGCCCTGTGATAGCTCAGGCCTCAGTTTCTCTGGCAGTGAGATGGAATGGGATTCTGCTCCCCGCAGCTTTTAAGAGGATCTGAAACTCTCCAGCAGAAGCACCTGGGCGCATGGCTGGGACTTGGGTGGTGGAAAAGGCAACAGTCATCGAGTGGCCCTCTACGGGCCAGGAAGGACTTGTCCTTGCTGACTCTCCTGCTTAGTCTGGAGCAGAGAGGGTCCCCACGAGCCCTGGCACCTCGGCCCTCTCCCCCCCCCCCCAGATGCACATGACCCTGAGTGACCTGCAGCAGCATCTGAGTGATTCCCATGAGGCCCTAGAGAAGCGGATGGATGCCCTGGGGAAGAAGCTGGACACCCTAAGTGAGCTGCTCAGCGCCGCCCTGGGCCCTCAGCAGCTTCCAGCACCCAGTCAGGAGGCCACGTAGTGGTGAGGGGGCTGGGATGGGGCGGGAAGGGAAGTGTCCGGTGTTCTCCGGTCTGGAGACGAGGCCACCCTTTCTCCTGGGCTCTGGCTCTGCCAGGAGGAAAGGACTCTGCATTCAGGCTTGGCTGGCAGTAAATCGAGGGAGCTTCTCTCCTCTCCCCTGGGTCTCCCAGGGCCTCCCTCTCCGTGTACGGCTCCTCCCTCTGCCCATGCCCCAGCCCTCCTGAGCTCTGCTCATCCTGTGCCCCTGCCTCATGTGCTCACCCCGCCTTGTACTAGCTCCCGGCAGCCTTCACCCCCTTGAGTCCTGCTCCCCATCGCCCTCTCCCTCTGCTCTGGCCTCCCGTCCACCCATCTCTCTATCTCCCCAGGGCCACACAGGAAGAATCAGACTACTTTCCCCAGGATGGAGGCCGAGGGCTCCTCATCCAGCCCCATGACTAGAGCACCTCATGGCGTGAGGACCCTGGGCTGGGCCGACTCATGGCAGCAGCCTCAAGGGAAACTGGCTCAGGGGAGAGCCTTGGACCTCCAGAGGCCCTGAATGAGAACATGGTCACTACAACCCCAAACGCCCTCATCACAACCCTCCCACCGTGCTGCTGTAGAAGACCTCTGGCTTTCACTAACAAGTGGTGTCTAGGGCGGGACTCCTGGGTCCAGGTGGAAGAGAGGACCAGGGGCCCAGAGTTCAGGATCCTGGAAAGCTTCAGTTCCCGCTGGACGGCCCAGCTGAAGGAACCAGGTCTGAGAAGTGGGAGGCGGCGCCCCCTAGTGGACAGCAAAGAGACACCGTTTTCCCAAAGCTGCAGAAACAAAGCTGGGAAGCGGGAGGGGGCAAGACTCGCCAGTCTCTGCTCCTGTACTTTGCAATAAAAGGAAACAAACCTGTTACTGTTTCTTTCTAAATACTCCAAGAGGCAGATCCTTCTGTGGAAAGCATTTTGACAGTCTGCACCTCGCGTTTGCCGCGAGGATAAAGGAGGCCTCCATTTTGTGCCCCCCCGCGCCCGTATGGGTGGGTGGTCCTCAGGCTGCCTCCCCAAGGAACCGCTGTGAAGATTAAAACTGGCACGGAGGGCTGAGTACTTAATAAGAACCAAATATACGTGCAATAGTCATTTTTAGAATGGCTACTGATGTCCACACTCTGCATGGCCGCCCTTCTTCCTTTTTTTTGGCTGATTTCTCCCTTTTTTCATGCCTCACCAGGCCTGGACCACAGCTCCCACCTGGCAGGTTCCCTCCCACCCTGCACACCAGTGTCATCTCTGCTCAGGAGGGGTCTGCTGCATCCCAGAGCAGAGAAGGAAGGGGATGGCATGGAGCTACCACATTCCCAGCTCTGTGGTCCCTGTTTGGTCTTTTTCCCCCCGTGGTACTAAGGATTGAACCTAGGGCTTCTCTACCACCTGGCTCTTTTTAATTATTTTAAATTTTGAGACAAGCTTTTGCTAAGTAGCTAAATTGCCCGCCCAGACTGGCTCCGGGGAATTGTTATCCTCCTGCCTCAGCTTCCCAGAGTGCTGGATTATAGGTGTGGGCTACCATGCCATGCTCACACCATTTCTGTAAACCACCAGAACCACCCCTTGCCCTGTCCCTGCCACTGTACAGGTGTGGAAACTGAGGTCCTGAGAGCAGTGGTTCTGCTCCAAGGACCCCAGCCATGAAGGTCAGCGTCTGGCTGCAAAGCCCAGATTCACACCGGCCTGTCCTGGCCCAGTCCTTGGTGAGTCAGAAGCCAGGCCTGGGCGTTGAATGGGTCTCCCTTCCACAGCAGGTTCATCCTGGTTGCAGGGCTGATTCATCTACTTCCTCACTTGGGGAAGCCCAGGCTGAGTCAACCGCCTCTCAAGAGCTATCTTTGGATTTCCCACAGTCCCCCAGCCCTCAGGACCGAATCCGGGCCTCGATCACCCACTACCACTTGCTGCCCTCCCTTGGATGCCAGCCACTTTGGGAGCAAAGGCGAGGAGGCCCAAGGAGGGGACAGATGAACTTCCAAAACCATCAGGACACCTCACCCTTGCTGGAAGCCCCGCGGAGCCAAGTGCATTCTCTGAGACCATTCTCTCTGTGCTCCATTTGCCTTCCTGCTGTTCGGTGGCTGTGGCTCAGCTGTCCCCAACCTCCTGGAACCCCTCTCTAGAAACCTGTCCCGTCTCCATATTCACTGGGTCAAGAAGCACCACGCTACCCTCTATGTAAACGATCTCACAGAAGAGGACACCATAGGGGTCATTTTAAACACGAGGAAACAGAGTCACAGAGAGACCAAGAACCTTGCCTGGAACCACGGCAGAGAGCTGGGGAGCTGGAATACGGTCCGGGGAGCCTGGCTCTGGAGCCCGGCCGCCTGGCTCACTGGCTCCTTCACATACTTGGGCAGCAACTCACTGTGTTTTATTATCATTATGTTTCTTACTGTCATGCCTTCAGCACCCAGGACCTGATGAAAAGCCAGGCTGCAGCCTGAGCCAGGGCCCTGTCCTCTAGGGCTGTCTCTGGGGGTTCTGGCCACTTCCCTCTCCTCTTTCTGCTCTGGCTGCACGCCCACCAACAGGACTGCATGGGCCAAAGAAGTGGGCGCTCGCCCACAGTTACACAGCGGCCAGGGCCCCTGAGGATGCTCTGAGTACCTGCGCAGGCCCCTTTGTGGCTACCACAGCACTCCTGTCCACGTCTAGTTCCAAGGCCTAGCTCTTTTTCCCTGTAACTGAGGTATCTTTTACATAAATACACATTTAAAATACGATCTCGATGAATCTTTACAAATGCCTACAGGTGGGCTGTCACTACTCCAATCAAGCTAGAAGTTTCCTGTCCTCAAAGCTCTCCTGTCACTCCCAGCCTATGTCCTCCTCTGCTCCGAGCGTCCACCACCCTGACCTTCCTGGCTCTGAGGCCTGAAAGGAACTCTGAGGTCCTGCACAGCTACCCCTGCAGCTCAGCTTCCGATGGCACAGCAGAGCTCCAGGGTCAGGGTCCTGTGAGTCCCTTGGGGACTCTATAGGGTCTGGCCTGGTGCCCCTCCCCTGGCTCCTCTCTCTTTTTGTCCTGGCTGCTGCCAAGCCTGGGCTTCTCTTCCTTCCCCAACATCCTTTGTCTAACTGCGCACTGCACTCCCCTCTCATCGGCCCTGACTGCTCAGAACAAACATCTCCAGGCTTCGTCCAGTTCTTTATTGCAGCTCATAAAGGAAGCCTTTCAACATCAACCCCAGACCGGCAGTGCAAAGACCTGCTTGGAGCTTTTATGCTAAGGGGACAGCTGCCAGCACATAAAAGCCAGGAGAGTGTTTTTTGAAATTTGGAGAAGGTGTCAAATGGAAGGATTTTCTTTCCTTTTACCAGAATGAGCTGGCCTTTCAGTTCAAGGGCAACCCCCCTGTGCCCTGTCTACAGCCTCTCTCACTGCCTCCAGAGCCTGCTCCCACCCAGGCACAATGGCTGCACTCCCAGCTACATAGGAGGCTGAGGCAGGAGAACAGCAAATCAGAGAGCAGCCTGGGCAACTCGGTGAGACCTTGTCACAGAATTTTTAAAAGTAATAAAATAAAAGGGGCTGGAGATGAAGTTCCATGATAAGCACTTGGATAAGGCAGGCCCTCGATTCAGTCCCTCATACTGAAAAACAACACCTAACCAAAAACCAGAGCAAAATCCTGCCGCATACAGCATGAGCTTTTATAAACAGAGCCAAGAAAGAGACAGAACATGGGCTGTCTGTGAAGAGAATCCAGAAGTGATACGTGCGTGTACCAGTCTCTCACAATGAGTATATTTATTTTGCATCACAGGCACGTATTAACTTAAAAGGAGAGGGGAGAAAACATGAAGCTCAACACAGGCGCAGTAACTGCATAGCGATGGGTGTCAGATCAGGGCCTGCTTCTGCAGAGGGAACTGGCAGGGAAAGGGCACAGGGGAAAAAAATCTCAAAGACGTTGGAAATATTTTCTGGTTATCTACATGAACCTAGCTATTTGCAAAAATTTATTGACCTTATCTCTAGGGTAATTTAACATCTCACTCCCCCAAAGATAAAGGTAAAAAAGTACAAGCTTTTCCTTCCAGAAGCAGCATTAGGATGTGAGAGTTTCTGTAACGTGGTTGACTGGACGATTAAAACCTCATCTTTCTCATGGTGGCCGCCACAGCCACCTCCAGTCCTTCAGCCAACCTCCCTGTCTTTGGAGACCTTTGTCCCCTGGGCTCCAGTCATGGCCCTTCTGATGTCCCCGCCCTCAGCCTATCTCTGGGTGCTGCTTATCCCCGGACCTCTCCTGTGTTCTCCAGCTCCTCAGCCCAAATGATCCCAGAGAATCCTGGGCTTTATATATTATCTACGGGCCAGGGATATAGCTCAGCTGATTATCACCCTTGCACTTGGCAAGTGCAAGGGCCTGAGTTTGATGCCTGATACCAAAAATAAAACCTATCATCTACATGAGAAGCTCTAACATTGAGCGTGTTCAGATAGTTACTGAAAAGAGGACAGGGCAGCTTGCTTAAAACAAATAAAACTCTGTGTAGGGGGATAAAAGTGTAGATGACTGTCAATATGGGGCAGCAGGTATGTGGGAGTTCTCTATACTGAAATACTTTTATGAATGCTTTAAAAATCTGTAGCGACCCCAGTGGTGATGCATACCTATAATCCCTGCACTCAAGAGGCTGAGGCAGGAGGATCACCACGTGTTTGAGGCCAGCCTGGGCTACACAGTGAGTTGAAGGCAGCCTGAACTACATTATGACATCCTGTCTCAAAAAATAAAAATGGTTAAGAAATTCAAACCAAGTGTGGTGGTACACATCTGTACTACCAGGAGGCAAGATAAAAGGATTGCTGCAAACTGAAGGCCAGCCTGGACTACACAGCGAGATTATCTCAAAAAACAAAAAAGATCCCAGTAAAAAGTATCACTCTTCACTAGCTGGTCACGCCCAGCCTTGAGGACTGTTTAATGCTGCACCCCTGAGTTTCAATATATGTATACTTTATGAAATGGCTCCATCAAGCTAATTGCCAGGTGCCTGCCACCGCAAAGGTATTTTTTGGTGGTGAGAACACTTAAAACCTGCTCTCTGAGCGATCTTCCAGTCCACCGTGTTATTAACTCCAGTCATCGAGAGGACAGTAGATCTCGAGGGCACCTCTGGAGTCGGCCCTGCCTTATGCTTCCTGCCATGCTGTTTAGCCCCGGCTCTGCCTGCCACACCGATTCCAGCCATGGACTTTCCTGGACCGTCCAGGCGGGCAGAGCGCCTGCATCATCTCCTCCTTCCACTCTTGCCAGGCAGCGGACTGTTCTCTCAGCTGCCAGCACTGTTCCCATTTCACCTTTCTGGGGGGCACGGATTAGATACAAGGTGCGTGGCTCAAACCTTCACACATTTCTATGGTCTTCCTCGGAGCTCTGACCACAGCGACCACTGTCAGTCTCTGTTGTTTACCATGGAGATATCTCTGAAAACATACAACAGAACGTGTGGCCCTTGTGTACAGCGCTGTATTACACTGCAAGGTCCAAATCCTGGCACTGGCTACAAGGCCCTGTGGAACCCAAGTCTGTCCACGTCTCTGTCCCTACATGATCCTGTCCCTCTGCCCTTTCCACTGCTCTGCTCCAGTCACGCTGGCTACCTTGAAGAACCAGCCTGGGCTCTTTTGAAATATATATTTGGGGGGCTGGGGATTTAGCTCAGCGGCATAAGCACCTGCCTTGCAAGCAGGCGGTCGTGAGTTCGATCCCCGGTACCGATAAAAATGAAAAAGACAAAAAAAAAAACCACAAAAACATATTTGGTCCTTGAGCACAGGAGTGCTGCTCTGGAGGCTGAGGCAGGAGGATCACCTGGGCCCAGGCGTATAAGACTAGTCCAGCAACACAGTGAGAACCTATATCCAAAACTCTCTCTGTCTGTCTGTCTGTCTCTCTGTCTCTCTCTCAGGCATGCTCACACATTCATCTTTCTCCCTGCTTCCTGGCATACCACCCAACTCCTACAACCTTGGCCTCTCCTAAGTGACAGTGTCTTTTGCGGTGCTAATGAGCTGATGACAGTGGTCAGCAGCCCCTTAGGTAGCCTCAGGGTGGGACAGCACTAGAAAAACCACAGGATTAGAGCATTGGGATTTTCAGCCCCACCCTCAACCTCCGGGGAAGGGAGAGGGGCTGAAGGTTGAATGAACAGACAACAGCCAATGATGGAACCAATTGTGTCCTGCAACGAAGTCCCCACAAACCTACAAAGTCAGGATCTGGAGTTTCTGGACAACTGAACATGTTCATGGAGGTGGCACGTCCAGAAAGGACATGGAAGCTCCACACGCTGGCCTACAAGTATTTTCAGCTGTGTACTTTAGTAAAAACAAAACAAAACAATGTTTCCCTGAGTTCTGCAATCACACAAGCAAATTAGCCGAACCCCTAGAAGATGTTTCGAGAACCCCAATTTATAGCCTATTAGTCAACACAGAGAAAACCACCTGCAGCTTGTGACTGGCACAGGAAGGGGGAGGGGTTGGCCTTGGGACTGCAGTCTCACAGCTGAGCTGAACTCCAGGACACCTGGCCCGTGTCTGCTGCAGATCTGACTGCTGCCTGGTGCGTGGGGAATCCCCGAAGCCCACATCTGTCAGAAGCTGTTACGAGAGAACCTGAAACTGAGTTTGTTTCCTCCCCTCGCAAATCTATTCCTACCTCTAGGGCTTTCGGTTACCGGTCTTCAGCATCTCCTGGGGTTTTTTTGGTTTTTGTTTTGTCTTGTCTTTTTGAGATAGAGTCTCACTATGCAGTTCAGACTGGATTTGAGCTCACTTTGTAGCCCAGGCTGGTCTTGAACTCACAATCATCCTCCTGCTCAGCTTCCCAAAAGTTGGGATTACAGGTATGTGTCACCACACCCAGATTTCTGCTATGATTTTTGCTTGTTTGTTTGTTTGTTTGAGACAGGGTCTCACTACAGTTCAGACTGGATTTGAGCTCACTTTGTAGCCCAGGCTGGTCTTGAATTCACAATGATCCTCCTGCCTCAGCCTCCCAAGTGATAAGATTACAGGTGTGTGCCACCACATCCAGCTTTAGTCTTTTAATGTATGATTAGTATTTTGTAGCCTAGGCTGGCCTCCAATTTCGAAGGATCCTCCTGCTTCAGCTTCCCAATGCTGGGATTATACACGTGTACCACCATATTTGGTGTTAGTATCTTCTTGAAGTTTCATTTCCTTATCTTCTTTCAGGCTTCTGCTTAAATGTAACTGTTGTTACTAGTTGTCACTGTGACCTGTTATTCCTCATTCCCTTCTATTGATTTGGGGTAAACTAGTAAACATGTATAACATGATGTTTTGATTTATGTATGTGTTGTCAAATGGCTACATCAAACTAATTAACATCTGTCTTATCTCATATACTTATTTTTAAATGTTTTTTGAGTGTGGTGAGAATACTTAAAATCTGCTCTCAGCAAAATTCAAATATATGGCATACTGTTACTAACAGTAGTTACCATGTGGTACGTTGGATACCTTAAACTTGTCTTTGTATCTGTAGCCCACATCTCCCTTTTCCCCTGCCACTGGTGTTCTGTTCTTTACCTGATGTCATCTGTACCACTAAGATACAGGCGGGGCAGACGGAGGGCAGATGCTGCCTCTGATCACTACAGGACTCCAGCCACGACTTTGCTGGCAGATGACCAGAGCTCCACAACTCATCCACTACATGAATGCACACAATGAAGAGAGAATTAATAAAGAGATGAATGGACTGCTTGGCAGGGCTCTCCACATTCCCAGGGCACATAGCTTTTGACTCACACCCTCTAGTTCAAACAAGAAATTTCATTGAAAATACAGGCATATGCACACAATCAGATATACGAGGGTATTTTTAATGACAACAAATGTTGATAACAATAGAAGTTCAGAAACAATCTGAATGTCCATCAGTAGGAAACTGCTCATAGGGGACAGGGTAGCCACCCAACAGCATTCCATGCTGCTAACATGGTGTCTGACTACCCTGATGATTCATCAACAGGGCCCGATGCCTGGTACGGGGAAATGTGGACTCGCCCTGGAGTGAGGCAGGCTTGGGGCGGAATCCAGGGCCTTCAGTAAGGTCCTTCTCTGCTTTCAGACTCATTTAAAAAAAAAAAAAATCTGATAAACAGAAAAGGGGGAAGGTTGCAGTGACCTGCATAAAGCAGGAAAACAGAGCCTGGTACGCAGTGCACACAGCATCAGTGCCTTTTCTTTTCCCTTTTCAAATCACTGCCACCACTGAGGGTTGCCCAATGTAAAACCGGAAATGAAAGGTAATAAGGGGTTGAGGAATTCAGGTTAGCAAAACAGATAGTGGCTGGAAGGGGAGATGTTGAAAGGGACACTGAAAGACATAATCCAGAGATGGTCTGTCATGTGTCTCTTCATTAAACATTCAAAAGCAAAATTCTCCGATGTTCTAAATTTAATGACCAGCAGATAGAAGAGCGATGGGGAGGTGGATCAGTTAAGAGTTAAGGGCCCAAACCAATGAGACTATTATGCAGTCTTGAATACATGTTGCAACTGTAACTCAAATCCCATCTTGACCTTATCTGGGTTATAAAACTAGCAAACCCAAAAGCAACAAGAATTTCTCCAAATTTCCCTCCTTTACATTACCTTATTCATCTATAACCAACATAAATTCCATATAAACAATTTATGCTGCCTTCAAATTTTCTTTATAAAAATACTCTTAGCTGTGGTCCAGCAGGCATTTTTCTAATAATTATCTAGCATAATTGCTAGATAATTATTAGAATTATAACTCAGCCCAGAATCTGATCCTTTTTCTGTCTAGCATCTGTAATGGCTCAATACATACTTGCATTTGAGAGTTCTGGTTTAACACCACAGTCTCTCAGAAGAAGCCATAAGTGACAGAACTCAAATTAGTCTATGTGACTGTGTTGCTGGTTAGCTTGGGTTTTTGCTTTAGTAGAAATGGAAATTAAAACCAAAGCACCAATTTACAGGAAAAAGGCTGTAATTGGACCTGGAGAGGAAAGACAGGGAAGGAGGGACACCCACAGTCTGATACAGGGGTTCAGCCTGGCACACCTCACAGGCTGCTTTTAAGGTTTGAATGGAGACCAGTTTATCATCATCTCATCCTGGTGTCACTGTTCTGGAATCTTTATGGCTGAGGGATGGTTTTGTTCCCAGGAAATGATGGTTTCTGCCTGTGGCGGTCTTGGTCATGTAGGGCTCCACCTTTCTTAGAATCTAAGAGGTCTAAGGTTTAGGATGATGGCTGGAGGCCCTCAGATATAGCTGACTCCTTTGGTAAACCTCTTATCTTGGAATCCTCAATTTTGAAGGTGGGGGGGGGGTGAAGTCCGGTAAATTCAGGGCTAATCAACCAGCTAATCAACCGTGTCAGGCCAGTTCCTGGACAGGCACTCCCTAAATGATCAGCATACCTCTATGCAGAGCTGAGAAGAGATTACACCCACAGGTACAGTATCAAAGGATACGAAATGAAATCAAACTTCATTTTGCTTTTAGGTACTTAATGGGGATGTGTATACCCAAGTAAGAGGCATGGTTCATAGCAAAATTGGCCTTTAAGTCCCTGACTGTGCCAGGAAAAAATAAAACCATGTTGCTAAAGAACAGCAACTAAGGCCCCAGGATTCTGCCTGTCCCCTATCTACCCTATCTACGCTGTTTTCACCTAGCATGTGGCAGTCTGAAGAAACAGTAGTCTGGCATGTTGGGGGGGGAGGAGGTAGCACCAGGATGAGGCCAGGGAGAAAGCAGCTCACAATCAACCACATCATCACTGCAGACCACAACAAAATAACACTATGCTACTATGCACCAGGCACTTCCACCATTTAACCCTGTCAGCAACGCTGTACGGTGTCACTATCCCCATTTCACCAAGGTGGACACAGAGATGAAACGGAGACCAGAAGGGGAGGCTTATGTTTATTCTCTTATTGTCTTTTTGTTTGCTAAAATTAAGTCAGTAGGTACACAAAGTACCTGTTCAAATAACATTCGCTTATTTATTTATAGTTCTGGAGTTTGAACCCAAGGCCTTCTTCTGGACTGCATCTACAGGCCCCTCTGCCCTTTTAAAACTTTTTTTGTGTATGTGCTGGCAGAGCGAGCACTTTAACTTTTTGAAACTGAGTCTCCTTAAATGACTAAATTGCCCAGGCTGGACTCCACAGGGCGATCCTCTGACCTCGGTCTCCTACAGTGTTGAACCTACAAACATTTAATACAATTGAAGAAAACACTTTAGGATTTCAAATGAAAAGCGAGAAACCTCCCACTAACGACTCTGCTCTAGCAAGAAACAGCCTGTTGCCGCAGTACGGGACTGCGCATGCGCCCCTGCAGGCCGCGCCCCATACCCGGGAGTCCTTAGAGGCCAGAGCAGGGCTCTGCCCGCGTGTTTTTGAATTTTCGGACCTGGAGTGGACGCCTCTCACCGTAGCGGCGGAGGGATTTATAGCGTAGTCCTAGCCCCAAGTAGGCCTTGAATCCCCGAGCCTTCAGGATCTGACCTGCCCACCTCAGGCGTCCCATCCTGCACCCCTGGGTCTGGGGGAACCCTCAGTCCAAGCTGAACCTTGCTCCAATATACCTCGCTGCCTTTGCTTAGTTGTTCCTGCCGCTTGCCCGACCTCGCGTTCTTTCCCAAGTGATTTGAGCCCCTCGCCTTTTCCCTCAACAGACCGGTATCCCTTCCAGGGAATAGTAGGTCTAAATAATTCCTGAACCAACCCTCAGCGTAGGACACTGGAACACCCTGCCGCACCAGCCCGCCGCACCCTGCCAACATCAGTGGAGAGATGGGTCTCGAACTCGAAATCTCTGAAGCTGCTGCCATTCCCCACTCCACTTGCCCCTACTTCTCCGCCCCCTCGCCGAAGAGACGCGCACGCTCAGAGCCATCTGCGGCGCGCTCCCGTCGCCGCTCCGTAATCCGCATGCGTGGTAAAGTAGAACACGTCCATCAGAGCATGCTCAGCCTGACGGATTTGCAAGGCTTGACCGTGACGCATGCGCAAAGCCAGCAGCCGGCGGGACCTGAGTTCGGCTTGGCATCGCGATACCTCCTCCTTCTCCTCTTCCTGTTTGAGGCAGGGCTTCTTTTAGGTCGCTCTTCCAGGACGCCAGGCCAGTTGTGGAGTGGTCAGTGTCCATTTTCTCTGTCTCTTTTTCACAACCTTGATCCCCAAATACCATTTACTGGCTGGTGGCCTGTGGAATTTCCCTGCCCCCACCTCACCGCGTCACAGGCGAGCGCGCGCCCCGGCCCCAGGAACCAATCAGCAGTCGCCTTAGGTAAGGCGCGAGCTCGCGCGAAGGGCGCGCGCTGACGGGGCGGGGCTTGAGGAGGTGGGGCGCGCCACAAGTCCTGCCCCTTCGACGACAGTCCTCTACCGGTTAAAGGGCCGGTTGTGCAGCTGGCTAGGAAGCCGGGGCTGTAGGTTAAACGACAGATTGGCCAGTCAGGGTAGGGATGACAAATAATGGATAAGTAGAAATGAGCCCCGGGAGTTCTAATAGGTAGAACCTATAATTTGTCTTAAAAGGACTGGGAACATCACTCTCATAGCATGTCAAGGAGAAGCTTAACGTCCAAGCAGATTCTGGGTAGCAGACCGCTGAGGGAGGAAACTTGAGTTGTGGAGCGCCCCGCGGGAAACTTCGTAAACTGAACCTGCAAATAAACATGAAGTACCAGGGAGCTCTTAGAAAGAGGCGTGAATAGATTATTATGAATTTTGGGGGTGCCAGGTGCCCCAAGAGAATAGATGGAAACACAGCTGGAAATTGGAGGCCCCCCAAAGAACTTGAAAATAGATGCTTTGATTCCCAGAAGGCCCCCTAATGGGAATGTGTGAAGTAATGTTTTAGATATTGAGAAAGCCCCCCAAAGAATGGGTGAATCAGACTCTTCCTGGGAAGTCACCATAAGAGTCCTGTGAATAGACACTAGACAGGCTGGCTGAGTTTGGGAGATCCCCAAAGGAGCCTGGAAACAGCATTGGGGTACCCAGATTGTATATAGACGAGTGCTCCCCCAGGGCTGTTAAATAGACTCAAAGTACTGTGGTTAGTTTCAGAATAATTGCAAATGGACACTTATTTGCCAGGAAAGAGATCATCTTAGGTACCTGAACAGACATTAGTGCTGGGGCAGAGTCCCCAGTGGGGATGAAGACAGACACTTAAGCACTGGGGAGGTTTCCAGAATAACGTGGAAACAGACACTTAATTGCAGGGGAGGAAAGAGTCCCAAGTTCTGGAGAGATGTCCTTGGGAGACTGTAAACAGTCATTTAAGTGCTGACTGAATCATTTTCCATAAACAGGCCCTGGTCCTTCTCTGTTTAGGAAGGCCATCTTCATCCTGGTTTGTGGCTAGGGAGAGGTCACTTAGAGCAGCGAGGGTGGCTAGCCAAGCCCCTGCCCAGCAAGCAGAGTTTTTCCTGCATCCTGTAAGCAGATGTGTTCGTTCTAGGGTATCTACCACAGGGACCTATTGATGTCATTACCGAGGTGGCGCAGGGAAGGATTCCTAGTGATTTAACAGGCTCCTTAAAACTAAGTGGGGATGAGCACCAGAGCGCAGTCGTTCTAGGCTCTGCAGAATACATTGTCCCTGTCTTAACTGCTCACCTTTGCCATAGCATGGAGGAGGAGGCCAAAGACATTTTGTAAACTGATGGCTATGGCTGTGTTCCGGCAAAACCTTGTGTTTAGAAAACCAGACACAGACCGAATTTGGCCACAGTTTGCCAGCCTGACCTCTGAGCTGGAGCAGATAGCCCTAAGTGGTCCTCCAAACAGTTAAGTGCTCTGAAGCCCTCTTTAGCATGATCCCCCTTGAAACACTCCTGAGGGACCTGTCAGCCAGTGCTTAAATGGTAGAGTGGGTTCTGTATCTTACAGGACATCTTATGAGTCCTGTGAGAGCCCTAAATGAAGCGAAATTTGGAATGAGGGATGGCAGACCTTCAGGGTGGAAGGTAAACGGGCCAAAATGTTAGGATATCAGGTTAAATGAGACCCGAGGATGCGGGCTCCCCAGCACCGTGTATGCCAGTATTGAGTGACCAGAAGGTTGAGGAGCTCGGTGGTGGTTTGTGCCATATTTGGGGAGGGAGAATAGCCCACTTTTATGGGAAATGCCTTATGAGTTGTGTTGTTCTGGGAGCATTTCAGATAGTTTTGGTGACAAGAGAAATACATCTGTTTGTCACTGCCTCCACAGGTTAATGAGGGGCTGCTGAGCCTTCTGTCTTGTTATAGCATGCTGGCCATTAAGTTGCCTCATAGCCCAAAATGGCTACCTGCACTTCACCCTCCACACACACATTCCTTCCAGTCAGGAGAGGAAGAGGCAAAAGACACATGCCAGCTTCTGTGAAGAAAGTTTCTGGAAGTTGCCAAATCACACTTGGGCTGTATCATTGGCCAGAAAGTACTCGTAGTCATGCAGCCCTGCTTAACTGCAAACAGAACAGAGAAGTGTGCTTGGACAGCTATGGAGCACAGAACTAGGGTTTACCCTGTTGAAAGGAGCAAACAGTGCCCAGCTGCTGCCCAGCGTGGAGCTCTTTTGGAGGGCAGCGCCTCCATACCGCCCAGGGGGAGCAGGTGGAGTAGGAAGAGACTCTACCTGAAACCCTCTCGTCCCTCCTGCAGGCCATCATGTCTGAGTCGGGGCACAGCCAGCCCGGGCTCTACGGGATAGAACGGCGCCGGCGGTGGAAAGACCCCAGCTCTGGTGGCCCGCAGAATCTCTCCGGGCCTGGCGGTCGGGAAAGGGACTACATCGCACCGTGGGAAAGAGAAAGGCGGGTGAGTGGACCCAAGAGCAGCACCTCTGTTTCTCTTTGTCCCGTGAATGCAGCTTGCACATCTGCCACCTGCTAAGCTTCAGTCTAGATCCCAAGGATTGGTCTCTAAACAGAGCTTCCCTGGGGGAGTGAGAAGGTGGAGAAAGAGAAAGGGGTTGTTTTAGACAGCACAGGGAGAAGGTCTCTGAAAAGAGAGTGACTTTTGAACAGAGACCAAAGGAGACAAGGGGAGAAACCATGTTAGAGTCTGAGTTGATGAGCATTCCATGTGGTAAGAACGGCACTCACAAAGGCCCTGGGGTAGCCCGTGACTGGTGTGTTCTTGGCCAGTGTGCTCAGTGGGTGAGAGAGGAGGGAGACTCAAAGGGTTGAGGTCACAGTGGTAACTGGGTCAGGTCCTGTAGGGCCTGGTGGGCCTTAGAAAGAACTCTGGCTTTCACCCTGAGTGCAGTTGGCATTGCAAGGTGTGTGCTGAGAGGTGCTGCTGTCCTAAGAGTGAGGCCCCAGGTGGGGGGGCTAAGCTGAGGTCAGTAAGCTTTGGATCATGCTCAGGTCCAGGTCCAGGTTCATGTCCAGGTCCAGGTCCAGGTCTAGGTCCAGGTCCAGTGCTAGTGCTGTCTCAAGCCCGCCTCATTCTGCCTGCTCCAGTGCCCGGACCTGAGCTTCTGGAGGCCTTGGTTTGTGCCTTGGCCCAGCCTCGCTCCTGCCCTCTCTCTAGGCTCTGTGTAGGCTCACTCCTGGCCCTCTCTGTAGGCCCCACCTCAGACACCTGGCGGGATAGAAAGAGAGGACACTGGGACCAGTTTCTGAGCTGTAAAACTACAAGCTCAAGACGGATGTAGTCACTGTGAGCTGGGCTCCTGCCTCTTCCTTCTCAGAGGGACAACACGGGGGCTCTGCCACACGCACCTGGGCATGTTCCCATCATCCTGCCCCAGCAGCTCTGCTCCCCGCACACGCAGCTCCCACATCCCCGCCTGATCTTTGGTGTGGCTGCCGATCGGCAGCTGCCTCCTGCTGACTCTAGGCCGGGCATACTACAGTCCTCCAACTGGGCCTCATCCTGGACACTTCTCTCCCCGCCTGATCCCCCCGCTAGGAACGTGAGGGCTGGGCGTCAGCCTTCAGAGTGCATCTGTCTGTCACCTCCACCCTCACGGGTCACCGCACCTCCCACCTCCCGCAGACCGAAGCCCCTGTCCTGTAGCCCTTCCCTCTCCAGAGCCCTTGGTGCTGCCCTTGGTGCTGTTCACCATGAGCTGGTGACGTGGGCAGGCACAAGGGGGGACCTTCCCTGTGTGGGGGAAGAGGCGGACCCGGAAGAGGAACGGGGCTCGAACCAAGGTCCGTCTGTTTGCGTAAGATGAGGGTGAGCCAAGGGGGCTGGAAGAAGGCAGCGTGTGGGACTCCAGCCACCAGCCTGCTGGCCAGGGACAGGGTGCAGGGGAGAAGGGGAACAGGATGGCAGGTGCTGCAGCAGCATCACAGCACTTCCGTGTGTCAGGTGCCACTCGAAAGTCACTAGTCCTGGTCCCGTCATCCTTGTACCCATCTGAGAGGAAGGAGCCCCTGTCCCTGCACAGCAGAGGAGAAACCAGGCCATCAGAGAGGGCTCCTCATGCAAGTCCACCCAGTGGGCAAGAGGCAGGGCTGGCCTTGAACCTAGCTCTCCCAGCTCCAGTGCCCCAGCTCCTTCCTACCTGGAGCAGCTGGTCAGGATGGGGGGACGATTCTGGAGGCAGACTGCCTGGGCTCAGACCTGGCCCTGTTGCTTATTAACTGTGACTCTGAGGAAGCCACCTCACCTCTCTGTGCCTGTTTTTCCCTTTGGTAAGATGGGAGTAAGTGGGAGTCTCATAGGGTAGTCAGAGGGTTGAGGGAGTAACATGGAGGCTTTTAATGTAGTGTCTGCCACATAGAGGCCTTCCACAGTGTCAGGGAGAGCCAGGGTTGGTAACCGTGTCCCTCCCCACAGGATGGCAGTGAAGAGGCCAGCACAGCCGTCATGCAGAAGACTCCCATCATCCTCTCGAAACCTCCGGCAGAGCGGGTGAGTGGGAGGAGGAGGAGGAAGGCAGCAGGCAGGGAAGGGGTCTCCCCCACTGGCTGAAACCCTTTCATCCCTGTAGTCTAAGCAGCCGCCAGCGCCAGCTGCACCTGCCGCACCACCAGCTCCAGCCCCTCTGGAGAAGCCCATCGTCCTCATGAAGCCGAGGGAGGAGGGGAAGGGCCCAGTGGCCGGGACAGGTGCTTCTACCCCTGAGGGCACTGCCCCACCACCCCCTGCAGCCCCCGCACCACCCAAGGGCGAGAAGGAAGGGCAGAGACCCACACAGCCTGTGTACCAGATCCAGAACCGGGGCATGGGCACTGCCGCGCCCACAGCCATGGACCGTGAGTGGGGGCCGGGCAGGATGGACTTGGGAGGGGCACCCCTGTGCCCAGACCCTCACCCCATCCTCTGTCTCCTCCTCCCGCCCATCCAGCCGTGGTGGGCCAGGCCAAACTGCTGCCCCCAGAGCGCATGAAGCACAGCATCAAGTTGGTGGATGACCAGATGAACTGGTGTGACAGTGCCATTGAGGTACCAGGGCCCCTTCCTGAGCTGCGCTAGCTATCCTCCTCTGTCTCCTCCCGGCCTCCAGCTCTTAGCAGCCTTTCCACACTGACCCGCCTCCGGGCAGCTGCAGCAGTGAGGGCTGGAGTGGGAAAGCTCTCGCCTCACCAGGCTGAATTTCATCTGTTCAGCTCAGCTGTGTGTGACAGCCTGAAATACGCACATGTGGCTCTGAAGAAGGAACCTCACTGCTGCCCCAGGTGCCCTGGGCACTGCCAACTGGGTCGGACCCGTGGTGCCTCAGTGTAAACTGCTGTCATTGGCACTCCCCGGGGGAACAGGTCCTTGAGCCCCTGCTCTAGTTCAGACCTCATTTGTGCCTGCCCGGGGTGCCTACCTCCCCTGCTTCCCTCACACCCGTCATATCACAGTCCTGTCCCTGTCTTCCCAGAGTGCCCCTCTGCTTCCCCAACAGCCTGACCTTAGGACAACGGCTGGGCCCGTGTGCCACCTGGCCCCCACCACCTCTGTGCTCACTCTGTCAAGCAGATCTTCCCGCTGCAATGACAGTGTTCTGTGCCTGCTGTCCTGGACAGTAGTCACTGCCCCATATCGGGCTTGCAACCAAAGAAGAAAACTCTAAAATTTTAAAATTGTACTTTTAGTTAAGTTAAATGGCCACATGAGATCTGTGCCTACCATTTGAACAGGGACTGCTCTTCTGTTTCAAGGTTTTAAACCTCATGAAGGCTTTTTTTATTTTGTTTTGTTTTTTAAAAAAGCTTTTCTGCCAGTTCTGAGCACGGCAGTTTAGGGCAGAGCTGTTTGCCATTAGGAGTGTCTCTTTTGCCCCCTGGTGGTAAGAGTCAGCAATGCTGGTAGCCCTGAGGCAGAGGTCTCCGGACTGTTGCTAAAGGCCCAGACGTTCTGATCACCCTTGTGCATGCGGCTTCCTGTGTTGTCTGTTCCCTCGCTTTCCCATCCTGCCAGAAGTGGGAGTCTGCTCCAGGAGCCCTGAGATGCTGCATCTTTTCTGTGTTCCTGGGTTGCACACTCCCTTCTTCAAGAGCAGCCTCCTCTTGCCGGCTGTGTTCCACCCACTCTGACTTCCCTTTAGTTTCAGTGTCTTGACCATGCCAGGCTCTTTTCTACCTCAGGGCTCTTACAAATGCCGATCCTGGCACTCAGAACGTTCCACATAACCTTACTATGACATGGGAAAGAGGCCCTTTGCCCACATGAGAAGTTTTTCTCCGTATCTGATAGCGCAGGATACCAGGCACAGAGATCTCTGGGGTCTCCCTCTCACTGTGACCCCTGACGGATTCTTCATGCTCATATTTCTGCATCTTCCCACAGTATCTGTTGGACCAGACTGATGTGTTGGTGGTGGGTGTCCTGGGCCTCCAGGGGACAGGAAAGTCCATGGTGATGTCATTGTTATCAGCCAACACTCCTGAGGAAGACCAGAGGTGAGGGAGCATCAGATACGGATATAGGAGGCCAGAAGGGAGGTGGGCACCCTGCTGGGGCAGCAGCGGGGCAGGGCAGGGCAGGCAGGAGACTGGGTGTTGTGAGTGGTGTTACCAGAGGACGTGGAGAAGCTGTGTCCCCCCAGGGCTGTATCCGTGTCTTTAGTGTCTTTGTCCGCTGAGGAGGATAATAGGTTGGATGGGTCTGTTTGGCTGCGAGGCAGCCGGCCCTGTTCTTCATTCCTGCTTGCCTTGCCCCAGGACATGGTTCCCAGTGATACAGTCATTAAGGCTTTGGGTGCAGGCCCCCTCAGGCTCCGTCCTGCTGTTACCAGCTGCTGGCTCTGGGCCTGGACCTTTCACCTCCCAGTATCACATGTTTAGGTAGATGTTTAGAGGATAAAGCAAGGTGAGGAAGGTGAAGCTTACAGGCACTTGGCATAGAGCCTTGGTGCTTATGGGGTGAAGGCCGATAGGATCTGGGGAATCGAGTGGAAAAGAGAACCAGATGCAAGGGGCGGGTCCCATACAACTTCAGTCCTCCTGTGGCCTGGAGAGGATGGGCCATAAGGGTTCCCTTGCCTAAACAATATTCTTCAGTAAGGATGCAGTTAATTATAAAATCAGAAGGGAATTTGGGGAAGAGAGGAACTTAAGTAGAACCTGTAGCCTGGCGTGGTGGCGCACACCTGTGATCCCACCACTGGGGAGGCCGAGGCAGGAGGATATGAGTTCGAGGCCAGCCTGGATGGTGTAGTGAGTTCAAGGTCACCCAGAATTGCTTAGCAAGACCCCTTCTCAAAAAAAAAAAACAAAAAACAAAGCAAAACAAGCAAACAAAAGAAATGGGACCTGAAACTAGGAGCAGTACAGGGAAGGGAGAAAGGCGAGGATTAGGGAGTGGGGGAGATGTGCGCCTCAATGAGGACTCAAACTCGGGGACAACCAGGGAAAGCAGCCACTTGGGGTAGTAAGGAGCAGAGACATAGTCAGGACTCGCACTAACAGCATGTGCAGAATTTTGTGCATATCTGCATTTGGCTTTCGTCTAGGGACCGGGTCCAGTTTTCAGCAGCTGGGCTGGAGGTGCTAATGGAGACCCGGCAATGGGTAGAACCCCTGCTGTGGGACTCCTTGGAATCCTCCAGAATTGGGCTGTGAGGCTCCTGTGCCCCCTCCAGGTCGGCCCCCTGCCACCTCCTCTGTGCTGGCTGCCCTCAGCCTCACGCCCTTTGGAACTGTCCTGGCTCTCAGTTTCCTTTCCATGTCAGCTCTCAGCCGCAGTGGCACAATTTCCTCCAGGCTCTCAGTTCAGATTCCCAAGCCAGAGAATGCCTCTGGCTCAGTTTATGTTGTTAATTAGTATTATTTTGCTTGTTTTTTTTTATTTCATTGCATTTCATTTTGAGACAAGCTCTCAATATGTAGTCCAGACTGGCCTCGAACTCACTATGTAGCCCATGCTCGAAACTCAGCTTGTTGAGAGCTGAGACTACAAGTGTGCGCCACTGTACCTGGCTCACCAGCTTGTGGTTTTGACCCATGAGCCTGCGGTATGGTGGACTTGGGGATTGACTCTTTCTATCAGTCTCATTGGCCGAACCTCTCTTCATAATTCATCTGTTTCTCCCTTCCTTCGTTCCCTCCTCCTTGCTGAATGCCAGGAGCCTCTTATGTGGCCTTTCTGTCTTAGTTTAGTCCAGTTAGACTCTGTTGAATGCTAACTATGTGTCAGGCACTGTTCTTGGTGCTAGGCACAGTAGTAGACAAAATTAACCAAAACATGTCTTCCCAGAGCTCATGTTTTAATGGGGAGATATAAACAAAACAGCCTTTTACTTTGCACATTAGAAGATGAAAACAGAAGGGAGTGAGTTGGAGGGAGGTGGCCTAAGTTACAGTTTTATACAGGGCGGTCAAGGAGGGCTGGGACAAGGAGACAGTGGACTGAAACAGGCTGGGAGGACATGGACCATGTCAGGGCAAGGGCGGGCACAGATGAAGCCTCTGGGCTGGGGCTCAGCTGGGTGACGGGAGTGCAGCCTGAGAGGAGGGGAAAGGGGGGAAATAGCTCAGGAGCAAAATGGCTCCGTGGTAGCATGTTTGCCTCCTGTGCAAAGCCTGGGTTATGACCCCTAGCTGCCTGCACCCCCACCCCCACGAAACAGACTGGCGTCACAGGAGGGGATGAGGTAGGGAGCTGGAGGGAGGCCACGCAGTGCGGGGCCTGTCAGCCCTTCTCTCTTCTCTCCACTCTGTTCTCCTTGTCACACAGCAGCAAGAAGGGCTTTTCAAACCAAAACTTGTTCTGCCAGCCCTTGCGCATTACCAGGGCCTTTGCCAGGCTTGTAGGCCAAGGCCCCAGTTCCTGACCATGCCCTAAGATGGCCTGCATGGGCTCCACTTGCTGCCCCCCTGGTCCCCAGCCCACCCGGGCTTGTTCTTGTTGTTCTTGCCCGGACTGGTCCTTGTGCAGACCACCTGTCTTTTGCTTAGAATAGTCCTCTCCTCTGTCCCCCTCACATTCACCTCCTACTGACCCTCTGCTTTCTCTCCTGCCCTCAGCCATGGGTCTGCTCCTTCACGGCAGCCCTTCTCAGCTCCTCCAACTGCCTTATCTCTACTCAAATGCCACACGCCTCTTCTTTATAACCCCTGGTCACTGAGTCCTGTTGATTTGTAAGCCAGGCCAGAAGGCCCACAGAGGCAGTCTTTGTTCACTGATCTGTCCTGGTCACTGGCAGAGGGGGCAGTGTTTGCTAGAAATTACCCTTTGGCAGGCAGGTACTGTTCTCCTGATTTTCCAGAGATAAGTTCACTGTCTGAGTCACAGAATTGAACTCTGCTTTAGGGGAGGGCCTGGCTCTGCCTACTTTGCATTCCTGTCCCCAGCAGCCAGCACAGGTGGGGATGAGGAGAGCTGGTTTCTCAAGAACTGGAGAACAAGACTCCAGACTTCCACTGTGGGGATGGAGGGTGTTGAAGTGGTATCCCCTTGCCTGCCTAGGAGCAGCCAAGGATCCTGCATCACGGCCCATGCGGTATCCTTCTCAGGGCTTTGCCTAGATGAGCCTCATGGGAGTTGGGAGGTCTGGGTGCTGTGATTATCCCCATGTTATAGTTGAGGAAATTGCAGAGAACAGGGATAAGAGATCAAAATTGCCCACAGCCACAAAGTCCAGAGGATGCAGAGCCAAGGTTGGAGCCCTGGCAGTCGGCAGAGCCTCTGCTCTTGAGGACCTCTGCTCCTGGCTTTGGTGACTGAGTGAAGCCCGAGAGACGAAACATGGCTGCCAGACGTGGGCTGCAGATGGAAGCCAAGTGGGCAGGCAGGGCCATGGCTCCTGTGCATGCACTCTGGAGACGTCAAAGGCTAGGAGCCAGAGCTCCCCTGTACCCAGCCTGCTCCTCTCCACAGGGCGTATGTTTTCCGGGCCCAGAGCGCTGAAATGAAGGAGCGGGGCGGCAACCAGACCAGCGGCATTGACTTCTTTATTACGCAAGAGCGGATTGTTTTCCTGGACACCCAGGTGCCTGCCCCCAACTCACCTCTCCTACCAGCCAGCAGGGAGGGTTTGTAAACCAGACCTGAGGGACCCCAGGCTGCTGGCGGCCTCAGCCAGTTGTGTCATTCTTGGTCCTTGTGCTCTGCCCGGCAGATTTTGCGTGTCTCCCATTCACCCTGCACGCAGACTAAAGGGTCTATAGGTGGAGTCCTTTGAAGTGTGGACGTGGGGTTGGTCTGTCCACAGCCTGCCCTTCAATACGTAGCAGCTGAGCAGGGTCAGCTTTCGCTGCCTTCAGTGCCGGTCTTCTTGTGTGGGGATGAGGGTGGTACTCAGCCTCCTAGGGGTTTGCAGGATGCAGTAGAAAGCCCAGGGTAAGTGCGCGCTGGGACCTGGCTGGGCCCTCATCGGCTTCTCGCTGCTGTTGCGGCTCACCTGCCCGCGTTTCCTCCCAGCTCTTCTCAGGCAGTGGCCAGGTGCTCAGCCCGCCACTGACTTGACTCTCTTGGGGTGCCTGTGCCCCAGGCCCTGTGCCCCTCTGCCTCCTTTGGACTGGGAACATCCTCTTCTGTCTCCCGAAAACCACTGATGAGTTGTGGGACCTTGGGCAGCTTGTTTGATGTTTCCATTCCTCAGTTCTCTTACACAGGGAGAATAAAGTTGCCGGCCTGTCTCCTGGGGGTTTTGTGAAGTGTGGTCCAAGGGATGCCCTGGCCACAGTGCCCAGCACAGTTAGGTGCTGAGCACTCTTAGCAGGGAGCACTGTTACAGGGACAGCTTGCCTCCGCTGCGGCCTCCTGGGCAGCCTCCCTTCTCTACACCCCTTGCCCCCTGCACCTCCCATCGTAGTAGTGACCCTCCACGTGCGCCTCAGTTTTCCACCCGGCAGGTCCTTCTGGGCACAGCTCCTCTGGGTTCGGGGCCTGGCCCGTAATGGGCAGTACATTTGGAGGACTAGGTTTCTGGTCACTTCTCATTGATGACACAAGAGTGTGGGAAACGTAGACTGCAAGGTGAGCCCTGTGCTAGCCCAGCACAGGGATGTGGCTGAGGGCAGGGTCAGATGCCCACAAGGAGAAAGGAAGTTAGTAAGACAGAAGAGCCGAGCTCACCATGTCCAGTTCTCCAAAGCAAGCGGTCGGGAAAGCCCTGACCAGCAGAATTCCACTCTGCAGTGGGAATCCAGGAGGCTGTTGGCTCAGTCGGCCCTGCTGCTTTTCAGAGTGCTCCTTTAAGAAAAGTTGGGTGCCAGGCGTGGTGGCTCATGCCTGGGGATTCCAGCACTCGGGAGACTGAGGCAGGAGGATCGTTGCGAGTTCGAGACCAGCCTGGGCTACAAAGTGAGCTCAAGGCCTGCCTGATCTGCATAGAGAGACCCTGTCTCAAAAAGAAAAAGAAAAGAAAAGTTGGGTGAGCACGAACAGACTCTACGCACTGATAGGATTTTAGGATTTTTAAATCCTCACTGAGTTTCACACTTATCACTGTTTTTTGACCTGAATAATTAGCACAGTTCTGAAAGCATATGAAACAACAAATGACCAAAAGAGTCTTTAAGGGATGTGACTCATTCAAGTACATGGTGAACCTATTAGCAGTAGGAGATTTCTTCCGTTAGGGCCTGAGGTGCTGGAGAGCGTAATGATTTGTAGAAGAGCTGGGGAAAGCGTGTTGCTTTGAAATTTTTTCCTTCAGCCTCCTCTTGCACTAATTAGAAGTCACCTGCTTGTGCCTGACCTTGTTTCGTCCTGAAAGAGGCACTGTGTTTGCCTTCAGCGTGTGGCACTTCGGCTGCCACCACGGCCCCTTCCCTCATGCTGCTTTTTCTCTCTGGCCACAGCCCATCCTGAGCCCCTCCATCTTGGACCATCTCATCAACAATGACCGGAAGCTGCCTCCTGAGTATAACCTTCCCCACACCTACGTGGAGATGCAGGTGAGCAAGCTGGGCCAGGCCGGGGGGAGGGTTTTGCCTCCTGAGGTCTGTGATGGGGAGCTGGACTCGGTCATTGGCTGCACTTCCACTTAGAGAGAGCCCTGGGAACCCTAAGAGCTGTGGGAAGAGGGTGGCACCGAGTAACCCCAAGCCCTGTGTAAGAGGGCAGTGATGCTCCTGCCTCGCCTCACCAGGGCCGGCTTGTGCTGGCAGGGCTGGCACAGCTCTCGCACAGATGCTGCTTGGAGGCTCCCTGCCTTTGCCCCAGGGTCACAGCTAGGTCCTGGAATCCAGCACCCCGGTCTGGCCGGGGAGTCCCTCAACTCTGCATCCCTTCCTGTCCCTCAGTCACTGCAGATCGCTGCCTTCCTCTTCACGGTCTGTCACGTGGTGATTGTGGTCCAGGACTGGTTCACAGACCTCAGTCTGTACAGGTGAGGAGTGCTGGGGAGATGGGACAGGCCCAGGGCCCGCGACTCTGGTTTCACACAGCGTCAGAGGGACCCTATAAGGTGTGAGGAGGAGGCTGGGCCAGCCCCACTGCCCTCCAAACGCAGGCCTGGGAGCCTCCACTGACTGTTGCTTCTCCTCTTTCTCGTGCTTACCTCACCGCAGCCCTCTGGCCCTGGCTTTCCCTGACTCCACTGAAGGTGGAGTGGGCCTCAGGACTGAACTCAGCCCGCTGCACTCCTCACCCTGAGGTTGGGAGCACTTTCTCTGCAGACCTGCTGCTGCTCCCTCCCTCCCTTGTGCCGCTCCCTAGACCTCAGGCTTCCCCCGACCTTGCTGGCATCCTGTTACTGCCCTCTGCTGTTTCCTTTACCGCCTTTATCTCTGTGCTGGGAAGTGATGTAAGCCACTGCAGGGAGAGAGGTCCCCAAAGGTGCCTGCACAGTGACTGCTGGATATTTAGTACGAATTTGTAAGTGCATAGCACAGGGGCCTGGCTGCCCTGGTTCTTGGGAGTTTTGTGGCGCATCCTCTCCCTGACATGAGTGCCAGCCCATGACAGCAGAAAAAAAGATATATTTTGGGTCTGGAGGAGCCCTGCCTGAAGCAGCTATGCGGTCCAGAAGTGCCCTTGACAAGACTGGCTCAGCACCCCTGGCCCCAAGGATCTCTTTCAGCCTCAGTCTGTAGAAGACAGTGGTGGGGGCCGCTTTGGGCCTGGGCCCTGGGCACAAGGAAGAGGCAGGAGGACTCAGGGGGACTGGAAAACTGAGTCAGAGAGCAGATGTGCCCGAAGCCAGCAGCCCTGGCTTGGACTCCCAGCTCCTGCTGGGGTCTTTCCTGAGTTCCTCAGTGGCAGACTGTTCTGTGTAAGCAGTCAGCAGAGTGCCCTGTACCAAGAAAGCAGTTTATGGTTGGAAGCTTCCTTCCTGTTTGCATTAGTAATGCTGGAGGTGGGGGTGAGTTGTGGTGTGGCCAATTGAAAAAAAAATTTAAAAAGACTTGCTAGGGTCGTTGTGACCAGATCTAGGTGGTTTAATGCTGACACAGTCCCCTTCACTGTCTGCTGAGATTCATTTCACTTCACAAACATGCTGAACGTCTGTGCATACCTGGCACTGGGCACACGGGTGAGCAGCACAGGTGAAGCTCTGCTCTCATGGGCTTCAGGTTCGGGAGGGACAGGGTGTTGGCCTGGTGCACCTGCCAGAGCCTCGAATGGAAGCCGTTGTCACTGGTGGACTTCTGAGTAATAGGCCATGAAATTGCAGGTAATCTGTGTGAATGAGGAGAAAGTCCACACGTTTTATCAGACCCGTTAACCCTACCAGATTTATTCTATTTACTTTTTACTTACTTGGAAAGGTTATTTTTAGACAGCACCAACTGAAAGCATGTGTGCATAAAACCTGCAAACAGCAGATATTTATAGCAGCTTTATTCATAATTGCCAAAACTTGGAAGCGAGCAACACGTCTTTCAGTTGGTGAGTGGGTAAAGAAATGGGCACATGCCCGCGATGGGATGTTATGCAGTGCGAAGAAGAAATGAGCTGTCAAACCACAATCCCTAAATGCAGATTATTAAATGAAAGAAGCCAGTGTGAAAAGCCCAACCGTCTGACATCCTAGAAGAAGCTGAACGCGGCGAGGGTGCACGGAGTGTGCCAGGACTGGTGGGTGGGGAGCGGTGAGTCAGGAGTGCAGGGACGGTGGGGCAGGGAGACGCCCAGCCCCGGAACGGACACCTCCAGGAGCGCTGCCCACGCTGAGTGCGGACGCGGGTGACGGCCGTGGGTCACGCAGACTCACCGCTCTGGTGGGGTGTTGAGAGAGGGAAGCCGTGTGTGCAGGGCAGCAGGTGTGTGGGGATTCCGTGCGTTCTGCTGTTTTGCTGCCCACCTAAAAGTGTTCTGAAAAATAGTTTTGTTTTGCCTTCTTTTGTTTTTTGAGGTGAGGTCTGTGTTGTCCAGGCCGAGCTCAAGTGATGCTCTCGTCACAGTCCTAGAGAACTGGACTGTGGGTATGCGCCATCCTGACTGGCTGTTTGGTTTTGTAAGTGGGGCAAGCTCAAAAACAGTGTGTAGAGTTCACAGAAGGCCGTGGATCTGAGAGGTTTATCTTTGAACTCCTGAAACTGTGTGTGAAGCATGGTGGAGAGCTGACTTTCTAAGTGTGGCTGGGGCTTTCGTGAGAGTGTCGAGGGGACCCACCCCCCTGCCATGGGCTAGAAGGTGCCAGGGCAAGAGCAGCAGCCTCTCCATCCCACCCCAGGTTCCTGCAGACAGCAGAGATGGTGAAGCCCTCCACCCCGTCCCCCAGCCACGAGTCCAGCAGCTCAGCGGGCTCTGATGAAGGCACCGAGTACTACCCCCACCTGGGTGAGAGGCTTTCGGGCACTGAGGGAGAATGAAGGGGTGTGGGACAGGAGCCCTCTAAGGTGGTGGGGAGAGAGGGAAGAAGCAGGGATCTGGGAGGAGCACTTTCTGAGAATTATGAGGCAGGTCCGGGCTTCGCTCCGTGATTGAAATGGGACAGGACCAGGTGTGCCTGTTTCTGGGCCCTCCGCATCTCCAGTCCTGGGCTCAGAAGTGAGTGCTGAGGTCATCCAAGTGGCCCCCTGCACCTGCTCTCCAGCCTTTGCACCCGTCATGCCTGTGCCTGTGATATCCTTCTCACTGTTGCTTTTCTGCAGAGATCTAGTCCTGATTTTATGACCTGCACCCCAGGCAGGGTCTCCTCTGCCTCCTCCACCCTCACCCAGCCCCTATGCTCCCTGTCAGCTTCTGACTGTGTGTCTGTCTTTCTCAGCTATCATTTCTATCAGACTGGTGGCTCCTCGAGGGCAGAAACCAGATCTGACTTGGCACTGGGTCCCAGCCTTGCTGTGCGCACAGCCCGCTGCTGTGCCACGGTACACAAGACCTGCCACGGTGATCTGAACGCAGGAGTGAGGGCAGATATTCGGGGTGAGAAAGGGGAGTCCCTGAGACCGAGCACTGCCTGCCTCACAGGGCCTGTCCCCCCACCCAGTCTTCTTGCAGAACAAAGCTCGCCGGGAGGACTTCTGTCCTCGGAAGCTGAGGCAGATGCACCTGATGATTGACCAGCTCATGGCGCACTCCCACCTGCGCTACAAGGGTGAGGATCCAGGACCTCCCCAGCCTCCCATGCAGTCCCGCAGCAGAACCCTGCCCCTGTCCAGTCTGCTGTCCGGCTCTGCTGTCATGCCTCCCCACCCCCAGACCCACAGCACAGTACCTGCAGGCTGAAGCCTTTTCTCCTCCAGGTACTCTGTCCATGTTGCAGTGCAACATCTTCCCGGGACTCCCGCCAGACTTCCTGGACTCGGAGGTCAACTTGTTCCTGGTGCCCTTCATGGACAGCGAGGCGGAGAGTGAAAACCCCCCACGAGCAGGTGCACTTGCCTGTCCAGGGCACCTGGCCAGGGGAGGCAGCCTGCCCTGGCGGGGAGTGACAGGAACTCCCCGGAGCTGTGCGGGTGCTGGGATGCTATTTCAGGCGTCTGTTTTGGAGTGGGGAAGGTGCAGGGCTGACAGGGCAGGAGACCCTCTCCCGGCACTCTGCCCTTAGCTTCCCCACTCCACCCTCCAGGGCCGGGTTCTAGCCCACTCTTCTCCCTGCTGCCGGGGTACCGTGGCCACCCCAGTTTCCAGTCCTTGGTGAGCAAGCTCCGGAGCCAGGTGATGTCCATGGCTCGGCCGCAGCTGTCACACACCATCCTCACTGAGAAGAACTGGTGAGAGCTGTGCGGCGGGTGGGATGAAGGGTCCTAATTAGCTAGGGGGGTGTAGGTCATGCCCAGTTTACCAGTGTGAAAACTTAGACGCAGAGAAAAGTGCCGCATCGCAGGACCACGCACCTGTAGGCAGGCACTGCTGGATGGCCAGAGGGAACAGTGGGCCTACTTAGGCAGAAGCTCCACTCTGATGACTGGTGATGTAGCCAAACAGGGGCAGGGACGGGAGCCAACCGGAGCCAGGCGTCTGCTGGCCACAGCATCTCCCTGTCTCAGTCTCCCGCACTGTCCTCCTCCACTGCCCATTGGCTCTGCCCCTTGCTTCCACATGGGCTGTACCGCTGCCCTGGCCCCTGGGTCACCTGACCTCTGTGCCCAGGGCCCTCAGCAAATGGGTCCTGGCCTCATCTTATTTTGAAGACAGATTCGGAAGAGAAATAGCCTGGCTCCGTGCAGCTTCTCTGATGTAGTCCCCAGGGTCTCTGCGTGGGCTGCAGCCAGAGGGGTTGGGGGTGTGGACACAGCAGCCAGCAGCTGCTCAGGGCTGCAGAGTGGAGCTGGAGCCAGGCTGCACCACTGGCTCAGGGCTTGGTGGAGAGGGAGGATCAGACTTTCAAGCAGGGCTGGGAAGTCTTCGTCCAAGCCCAGCACCTGGAGCTTGGCTGCCCAAGTGACGTGAGAGCGGAGAGGACTCGATTTCAAAGAGGCTCCAGGTTGCATGCCTGGTCCTGCTAGGCCCTGGCTTCCTGCCTGTTGGCCACCCTCCCTGACTGTTGGCCTCCTCTCACAGGTTCCACTATGCTGCCCGGATCTGGGATGGGGTGAAAAAGTCCTCTGCCCTGGCAGAGTACAGCCGCCTGCTAGCCTGAGGTCACAGAGAGGGGTGCTGTGTTGAGAGCCTCTCGGTCCCCAGTGGACAGTGAGGGAGCGCACTGTGCTTGCCTCAATGGGCCAGAGAGTGGAGCAGGCCCCGAGGATGAGGGACCATGACTTCCTCATCCAGAGACAAAGTGTTCAAGGCCAGCAACGTCCCCAACCCCAACCTTAACTGGGGGCTTATTCAGGGGTGACTGTAGGAGACCCCACCTCCACCCTGGCCTGAGCTGCCCATCCTAAGTCCCCTCAAGGACAGGTAGTGGGAGCAGTGTGAGTGGTCGCCATGGAGCCCGGCCCCGCCCCGCCCCGCCCTCCCTCGCCAGGGCTGGGAGCACCAGGCCACTCTCCCTGACCCCAAGGCCTGTTGGGTCAGGTGAGGTAGGGCTGCAGAGCTCTGTATTGGGGTGCATCTGGTGGCTCAAATAAACACCATTGCGCAACCTGCTCTTCGCTCCTCCTCATTCCCTTCCTCTTGATGTGTTGCCCCATCTGCTGGAGCCCACGGCCTCCCCTCGGGGACGCATCCAGTGCGGGGCACAGATGCAGACCGGTGTCTGGTGGGGAAGAAGCTGCTGGAAAGGTTGTTCTGCTGCCCTCATGGTCTGAGGCCTCCCTGCTGTGCGTGCTGGGCCATGCTCAGTCTCCTCTGCAGTGCCCGCCTTTGAGTTAAATGCTTACTTTTCTTTAAAAAATCCAGCTTGTCCTTGGTTAAAGGTGTGCAGTACTTAGCCTCAGTCCAAATGCCTTCCCGTGCCCTTGCAGACGGCCCCTGCTGTCAGCTCCGTGTGGTGGCTCCCTTCCCATGCAAGCCTCGTTGACGCTTGCTTAAAAACAGCAATTTCTGCCTTTAATTTACCCCCAGAGCCTATCAGCTTAGTGCGCTGCACAGTTCAACACAGAACCAGTCCTGTTTACCCATGTTAACCATGGTGTGTCATCAGCACTGTTCCCCAAAGCATGTCCCCATATTGGTCTGGCCACCCCAAATGAGTCCTTACCCGAAGTGCATGCCAGTCTCCTGTGTGTAAGGCATTGTTCACTGCAGACAGTTGAGCCCGCTTGGTCCCCCAGTCCCTTTTGGACATGCCCATCCAGTCCTGGCGTTTTCACAGGTCTGGTGGGACCTCTAGAGAAGCACTATGGAAGGAGGACTGAAGAGAGCAGGCTGCAAAAAGGGGTCCACACAGGCCTTTAGAGAGGTGCAAGACCTGGAGGAGGCTTGGGCACAGCCACTCCCTGACCCCAGCTTCGGCCACAACCACTATCTCAGGGTCCCTCAGAGCTTCGACATTGGCTACACACCTAATAGGTTCACTTCAGAATCCCTGAGCCCCTGTCCACACGTGCAGAAACCCTCCTGACCACCCCCCAGCCAGGAAAAGGGGCTCCTCCATCCTTGTCAGAGCCTGTGTCCCATCCCATCCAGGGCCGCTGCTGGCCAGCTGGGTTTGCCAGACTAGTGAGCAGGAGCCAATGGACAGGGAAGGTTGTAAAGCCCGTACAGGAGAGGAGAGCACACAGGCTCAGCCCAGGGGAACTTTTCCTTTCCACCCCCCACCCAGTGCCTGGGGAGAAAGGGAGCTGTGCCTTCCCATCCCCTTCCAGCCGGCCTGGGCCCCAGCTGCATGTTGATTGAATTCCCTGGGATCTTGTGGCAAGGTGGGAGGCCTGAATGAACACCTCAGTTGTCAGCTGCCCTGGCCGGGCCAGGTGGAGCCTCTGGCACGAGGGAGATGCACTGGTGGCCACAGCACCAAGTAGAAGCAGAGGCACCTCCATCTCCAGAGTCTTGGGGACCTTGGTCCATAGCCCTATGCTGCTGCCAGGGGTTTGAGCAGGGCTGGTCTATCTGCTCTGGCAGCCCGACAAGGAAGCCTGGGTGTGACAGTGGCCTTCCCAGGAGTTAGTACCAGCCAGCCCCTGTGTACCCAGTGTTGATGCTCAGGTTAACGCCACAAGCCAGAGAGGCTACCAGCCCGGGTGATGCCTCAGGGAGGCCCTTAGGATGCACTAAGAGACACTACTGGGTGCCGCCACTGGGAATGTTGCTCATGCTGTGTGGTTTCTTCCTCATCGGCTCCTTTTGCCAGCGCAAGTCACCCCGGCCTAGTTCAACCATGGACAGCAGGGGGACTTGGTTTCCTTCACACTGTCCACTTTGAGAAGCACACCACTCGGTTGACACTGGTACACACCATGCCATCAGAGCGCTGCCTGGGCTCAGCACTTACTGTGAGCACACACACAGTTCAAGAATATCAGCCCACCTGTAACCTCAGCACTTGGCACGCTGAGGCAGGAGGATCACCGTGAGTTCAAGGCCAGCCTCAACTCTAGACAGCCTTAGACCTGTCTAGAAAAAAAATGTCTGCCCTGGAGCCAGACTGTTGCTTTTGGATCCCAGCCTTGCTACAGTGTGGCCCTAGCAATTAGCAAGCGTGTTTGGGCTTCTGTTCTCCTGCCCATGAGAGAGATGTGGTGTGCTGCTGCTGAATCTGCATTGGGCCTTTCCCCCTAACGCAGCTGAGTGTCCTCTGTCGTCAGTGGCTGGCTTGGTGAGTGTCCCTTCACAGTGGGGCCTCCAGTCACACACTGTGGCCTCCACTGACCCCTTCTTCCACCCACCCCAGCCTCCAGAGCCTGCCCACGGCCACCAGAGCCTGTCAGATGTCTCTTGTCAGGGTGGCACAGTCCACACTTAGGTTCACTGTCAACTGGCCCAGGTGAATAGAGTCAGCATGGTTCCGGGCAGGGGGCCCAGGGAAGGTGGCTTGTTGTCCGATACAGGAGATCCGAGGGAAGGGTTTCAGCTGCGCTTCCTTGGAGGAGCTTTGTGGCGACTGCTGTTCTTCGGAGACGTTTTTCTTCTCAGGAGCTTTGGCTGTTTTCTTTCTTTGGGGGAGCTTCAGTCCTCACCATCATCTTGGACGTCGCTTCCTGGTTTCCAGTGCTGATCTCCATTGCGACTCTTTCGGCCTCCTGACAGACTTTCGAGGGATGCTGCCATGGGTTCCTGGCCCTCGGCTGAATCCTTCAGTTCTCCAGCACACAAGCAGACGTTCCGCACTCTTCTGCATCTGCCCCTAGGAGTGTGGTCGGAGTGCCTGCCCTGCTGCAGGATTCCACTGCAACCCGCTGGCAAAACGTTGTGAGGATGGGAAAGTCATTGGGGTGCCTGTGGAGCAGGTGCAGGGTAGCATACAGTCATGACCTCCACGCCCATCTTAGTGGAGCTGGGGTCTCATCTCCCAACCCCTGGGTGGCGGGGTCAGCTTGCCCGAGCTGGCTCAGGCAGCACCCAGATCCAGCTGCCTCCATCAGCTGACGTGGGGCCTGCAGGCAAGCAGCTCGGGGCCAGGTCCCCTGCCTCACAGCCTCCTATGGAGCCCTGACCTCTAGCAGCAGCAGCAGCAGGGGCTTGAGCTGGCAGAGGCGTGGCTGGGTTTTGCTCCCCATGAGCTGCCTGACCCCAGTCCTCAGTCTAAGCACTGGATAACCTTTGACACACAGGTAGAGTATTTTTTTCTCAGAGTTGCCCCTCAGATCCCTCTGTGTGCCTGTGATCATCTGTTTAATAACAGTGTTGCAGCCTCAGCAGCCATTCTTAGGCCCGACATTAGCTGTTTGAAACCCAGATGAAACTTGTCACCTTGGCCGAGGTGTAACTTCCCTCTGGGATGGTGGTTTGCGGTACAGCCCACTTGTTTCTCATCTCCATGGCTCAGAACCTCGCACACCCACAGCGACTGACTGTGGCAAAATCTAATGGTCAGTAAGGTCCCCACTTCCAGCAGGCTTTAGCTTGTCCATCACCCTCAGAATAACCCCAGTGGACCTTAATTAGAGCACAGCCCCCAACCCCCAGAAGTCCCAACAACACCCACAATGTTTGAATCATCACCAGCAATAGTACCAAGAGAGTGACAATATGCCAGGCTAAACTGCTTTCTTTTAGTTAAGTTATTCATCATTCCTGGCTTTATAGCAGCCTGAAAGGGAGGGGGGTCTCAGACACACTGTTTGGCACTGAGAGCATGAGCGACATCACGGTGGCCAGCTGGTGCATAGAGTGTTGGGGATGGGACCCACGTATTCTGATTCTAGAATTCAAACTGTTAAGTCGTTTTTTTAGGGAAGCGGCATTTACCAGGCCCAAGCACTGTGTGATTAAAATCTTGGTGACAGTCACAGTTAACATTAATTCTGCATGACCACATATTTCAGCAAGTCCCATTTCACAGAGCAGGAAACTGAGGCCCAAGAAGACAAAAACGACTTGCTAAATATCTGCTCCAGAGCCAAGACATGGACCAACTCTTAGGTCTTTTCGCCGTACGAAACCCCTAGATCGCTGCATGCTGAATACCTGCTACGGGCCCAGACCTCTGCGTACTGCAGTCCCAGCCCTGAAGGAAGACAGGAAACCTTGCCCACACCTGTGGCCTGGCCCCTGCTCAGGAGCTGTAGTGCACAGCTGGGCTGGCCCTGGCCCTCACAGAGCCCTGGTGCCCTCACTGTGTGATGGACAAGGACAGTCAGTGTAGACACCCTGGGCCTGCCGCGGGCAAGTCACTGCAGCAGGCTTTATCTCCCTCTCTGCAAGGGAGCGCGTGGCTGGCGATGTCGCATCCTCACCCATCAGAGCAAGACTCAGCTTCGCTGCAGGGAAGTTCAGGCTTCTGGCCAGCTTGACTGCTCAGCAGGGAGGGGAGAAAACTTTTTCTCAGCCTCAGGGCGAGTGAAACAAGCCTGGGAGGTGAGCAGGAGGCTGGGCCAGGAGAAGAGAGCTCTGAGCTGGAACAGGGGTCTGGGGAAAGGGAGAGAGTAGTGGAAGATACAAGATATGGGGCCCAGGGGCTGAGCAAGTGGACCGAGGAGACGATGCACAGTGTCCCTCTGAACCTCAGCAGCAGTGTTGAGAGCAAGCCGCAGGCATTCCTGACCTTGCCAGCCTGGCCCCACACAGGGTTGGGCGAGCTGGGTGGGAGGATGTCTGCGGTGCACAGCAGAGAGCTGGTTTGGAGCATGGATTTGAACCAGGTGTGGTGGGAAACGATGGCTTCCACGTGTGTAGCTCTGCCAGGCACAGTGTGGTCTTCCCAACATGGCACTGGCCCCTAAAGACGACAGTGTGCCTCCAATAACCTCCGCATTTTTCTTCTAAGCCAGCATTGAACCTCCCACTCCTCTCGCGCACCAATCAGCTGTCAATACATCACTCTGTCCGCCCCTTCAAACTCCACCACCTCCAAACCAAATAAAAGCTCCCAGCTTTGTCTGCCTCAAGGGACCTTGCACTCTTCTGCACCCCTCCAGTCCCGGTAATAAAGGCCTTTTTCTTTTTCCTTTTTTTTCTGCTCTTGCCTCTCTGCCGTGCCAAGGAGAAATCTAGCAGCAAATGCCTGTAATCTGGGAGGCTAAGGGAGGATGATGATCACAA